GCAATAGTTCAATGGAATACTTTCTTGATAACAAGACCACAAATTTTTCAACGAAATTACCAAAAGCTATGAAATTAGAAGTTTCAATATCCATGTACCATGTTTACTGTTCAAGATCATGAAAATGTTATATACATTACAAAATCTATGTTAATGCCTAGTGAAAATATATCATCCATAGTGTACTACAAAAAACATATTCCAGCTACCAACTATGATAACCTTGAGCATATTTTAAGAGTGTTAAATGGTATCAGAGAGAACTATGAAATTTCGCTATGATGAAATAACAAAATTTGTGTCTAGGTATTTCTGTTTTGGATAAAAATATAACAACCGTAACATTATCACCCAAATTAAGTTTACAACTAGGTTATGAACCAAATAAAAATCTCCTAGAGAGAAATTTTGGAAAGTGTCCTGCTAATTTACACTTACCATCTCAACTATTTCTATATTGCGACATTATCGATCCTCAGATTGTGGGTGATGTTATGACTCCTTTACTAAGAGTCATTTCATTAGATCCTACAAAATACATTTATGGTGCAAATAAAATGCACATTTTCTCTCAACCTCACTACTTACCTGTTATGCGAAGAGAGTTCGATACGCTGGAAATAGTTCGAGCACAGGACAAAAAATACCATTCCAATTTGGAACCGTGTGTATTAAACTACATTTCCGAAAATTGTAATAATGAATTTTCTTCGTGTCATCATCATAAATGTCCATATGAAAATTATTATACACATCAAGCTGGGTCAGGAGTTGGAGTAATTTATAAGGGTTCACCATATCAACGCGGTCATGGTATTGGGAGCTTCTTAGGGCGGTTATTTAGATCAGTTTTACCTTTACTTTCAAGTGGTGCTCGAGTGATTGGTAAGGAGGCATTAAGCGCTGGAGTAGGAATTTTATCGGATATAGTTCAAGCGCGTCCTATGGAAGCCTCAATAAAAGATCGTCTAAAGCAAGTTAGTACGAATTTAAAACGAAAGGCGGATGAGAAAATTGATCAATTTAACATGAGAGGATCTGGGTATAAAACTAAAAGAAAACAATTGACCTCGTTCATTCCACCATTGTCCAGTGCGTGTTGCCAGTGATGATCTACGGAACCGAGACGTGGTCCTTCACTGCTGGCCGTATGAGGACGCTCAAAGTCGCTCAGCGGGCTATGGAGAGGGCTATACTCGGGGTTTCTCTGCATGATAAACTTAGAAATGAGGATAACCGTAGTAGAACCAAAGTGACCGACATAACCCAATGGATTATTAAGCTGAAGTGGCATGGGCCAGTCATATAGCTCGAAGAACCGACAACCGTTGGGGAGAAAAGGTTCTCGAGTGGCAGCCTCGTACCGATAGGCGAAGTGTAGGGCGACCCCCACTAGATGGAGTGACGACCTGGTAAGACATGCAGAACAGTCGATGGATGCAGGTGGCTCAGGACCGTGCTTTGTGGCATACCTTGAGGGAGGCCTATGTTCAGCAGTGGACTTGTGAAGGGCTGTGATGATGATGATGATGATCCTAAAAAATTAAATAAAACTGACCTTCAACTTGCCAGGGAAGCTAATCAAATTGGTCCAGTCCAATCTACGTCATTATTTTTAACATATCCGGAAGAAGTTAGACTCATAATTAGTAGCCTTAAATCCAACTGTGCTTTGGGACGGGACAACACTTCTGTAGTTTAAAAAAAATTAACACCTTGTTAGCACCTCACATAGCCCATATATGTAACTTAACTTTTCTATCTGGTGTTTTTCCGGATCAATTTAAACAAGCAATAATCTGTCCAATATATAAATCAGGAGACCAATCATCTCCACCAAATTATAGGTCTATAGCTCTATTATCATCACTTTCTATGATTCTAGAGAAGCTTGTAAATAGACGACTAATTATCTAGAATATAACAGTTTGGTCGTAATAACCTGATCCCGTATTGCACAGACAAAACCCTCGGTTTCCCCGAAGAGGTCACTGAAACGTAGCCAGTTGAGGGAGGCGACTGTACCTATGCAGGGCTCATGTAGAGCCCTGTAGTACCTCTCGCTCCTTCTCGGTCGGGTCGGTCGGAAATGCTATGTACTGCTGGGTCCTGCCATTGCTCGTTGGCTAAAGATAAAGGGGTAAGCCCTCTATCACAAGAAATGACGTCATTATAGAATGGATCATCCGATCTCGCCAAGAAGTAATGACGGAAGCTGCAAACTCATATGCATGGTCAGCGCGCTCAGAAAGCGACGCCCACCATACTTTCGCGGCAAGTACAACCTTATCACTGACGATCTCGGATGATGCATCCTATGGGACGTCATGGTAGTGCGCACTTTTCTATCCAGGGCGTTAAGTTCAGTCTGAGTCCACCTGAGTATGCCAAAGGGCCACAGGTATTTACATGAGAACAGGCATGACCCAACCGTTGTATGCAAAATTATTATTAATTGTGAACCGATTTTAATGATTTACATTCTTATTCAACAGGCTATTAAATCAGGGGTGGTTCGGAATATGGATACGGATATATTTGAGAATTCTACTTAAACCTTAACTAGATAAAAACGATACTATTGATAAATTTTCATTGTTTTATTATAGTTTTGAGTGTGTTTCTCTTATCATTAACAGTTTGTGATTTTGTTATTTAGTAAACAAGTTACAAATTGTTTACTAAGTGTCTGTTCTCACATTAAATTCATTTTTAAGATACTTTTCGGGACTTGGTTGATAAGACAGAAAAACTGAGTAAACACACTTTAAGAGGATGCTTTGAAAATGAATCGTAGTTTTGGTTTTGGGGGCGTAGCTTATCCCATTGTCAGTGAAGCTCACTGACGACTGAGGGAGTATCAAAATGAAAGTGATGCAATTACTTCATAATAAGCAAATTATAAGATAGCTATACCGACCAGGCGCTCGGAAAAAACTAAGGAAGCGCCTAACATTTTTTTAACAAAACTTTGTTATGGTTTATGAGAACTTAGATATGATTATTTACTATGCCTTAAAAATAATTTCATGAACTTATTCGGACAAATATTGTTTTCTCATGGATAAATGTAACTATTTAGAGCCTACTTTGCAATTATTTTCTATCGAAAATTTTAAATGTTATCGTGTTTTCCTTTTATGAAATCCAAGGTCATATAGTTAAATATCATAATACAAAAATTTGGTTCGTAATTTATAAAACTTTAAAAAATATGTGCAATAGAAAACCACCAAATTTTCCTTACGTGCAGTAATTTCTAAAATACTTTACAAATTTTTGGGCTTCACAAGAGTCCAGATTTGTGAAATTTGTGAGTTTCGGGAGTTTGTATTGCAACACAATTCATATTGAATCACAGTCGTTATTCTTGGCAATTTATTTCACGATTTTCCAGCATGTTCCTTTAGTGTACATTAAGGGGAAGTAGTTCTTGGGTAGTTTATAGATGCAGGTAACTTAGGACGTAGACGCAGGTCACTTTCCAGGAAGCCTATTTGCAGCGTTTCTTCATACCCATACAGTAAATATAATAAAACTACAATATCACTAGATCATTTTATTAAATTAGAAAACTCATTATTACATAAATTATGTGCGTTATAATGAATTGTGTATAACGAAATTGCTGCCAAGGTTAAGTCTATCAAAAAACTAAAAAATGGTTCGGCTCTTGTGGACATCGTTAAGTACAACTATTAAGAAAATAAAAATAAATCATTAGAAACACAAGAAACGTAGCTGTCCTATAAATTTGTATAGCTAAAAAGATCTATAAATGCAAAAATTCTAAATGAGTACAATATAGAAAAAAAATACATCCAAATGAAAGTTATATTTAATATAGCTCATTTTGTTTATAGTCCCTATCGTTAACACAATTTGTTAATCTTATATCTATGGTAATAGTTAGACGAGTACAAAATGATACTTCGTTCTTATAAAATACCTATTCGTAGCCTAAAACTAAAGTCAGTTGTATAATCATTATAATGATTATTGTAATTTGTGTTCATACATGTGTAAAGTACCACTATGTCAAATAACTCATGCATTGTATACAGCGTGAAAGCTATTGTTGCAGAAAGTGCGCGTTTGAAAGTTTGTCCGCGCACTTTCATTCCTTAGCGCTTTCAGTGAAACACAGTCCATATTCACGAACAACACACACGCACTACGCTTTACGATACTATATATATATATATAAATATATATATATATATATATATATATATATATATATATATATATATATATATATATTGTTTGGAAGAACTATGCTACAAGCTAAAATGTTACGTTTCCGATATGTTTAATTTTAAATTGCATTATTACATAACAATTTTTAAACAATGGCACACATTAAGCCAATTTTATCTGGTCACTTTACCACTTTATTGGTCTTTACGTGATTAAAAAATACAAATGAGTTCGCTCCAAAATACCATCAGTTATTATACGATGTTCGTGTGTAAGACTTTGCTTCATCCAATCTACCAGCTAATATTACATAACTACTTCAACAGCAACTATCTAATAATATTTCATTGTGAAGAGTCAGTTCTTACATAATTGAATGTCATCAACACCGTTAACATACATACCACATTACATCTAAATTTTCACACCTACTTCGTGACAAATATACTTACATTATATTATAAGAAATTAGTAGTCACAAAATTGTGCACAATTCCTTTCTTGACGATATGAGGTTTCGCTTAATTCATTATTTTCGTAATAAATGCATTTATAGCTTACTAAAAACTCAATATAGATAATTTACAAAAACCGAAGAAATTTGGCAACGGTAGGTTTAATATATAATAAATAAATCATAATCCAATAGTTGCAAGTGATTGATATATATCGACTAGTTAAGCTGTTTTCGCAATGACCAAGCAAAAAATATTTTGTTGACCCGTTTCACATAAGTATTCGTTACAAGTGACATTGAGAAACACGGTCGTTTTATACTAAGAATAGTTAATGAGGCAGTTTTAAGGCGGAACGTATGGGGGCGGTTTCCTGTACGTGGGGGTTGCCTTAGGTCTAGGGGGTGTGCGGGATGCGGCGAATGGTGGCGGAGGGCGGTAGGGAGCGTCCTCCCCAGATCTGTACTCCGGTGCTGGTGGCAACAAGGGCGGCTTTTCCTCGCGCATGATAACTGGACTCTTGTGAACTGGTTCTGCGTCAGCTCTCTCTTCTAACTCGTCTTGGAATATGACGGGGATTCCCTTGGAGCGGAACGCTTGGCGTTCTTCTTCATCGCCCACGCTCATTTTACCTGTGTTGTTTGTTTACAATAAAAAGTATTAATATATGTGCAGGATCCGATTATGCCATGTAGAGACAATGTAGTTTTGTTATTTTTATATTATAAAAATAGTTTTTATTCAGACAGCGGAGCTATTGGTTTTACCTTTGGGCTACCTATACATATATATATAAAATATAACGTAATTAACGCACACCCTCAGACACCCCAATTAGTATATTATGTTATAATCATAATACATACACTGAATTTTTCCTGAAGAATGTTGTGGTCACAGTACAAATCCACGAACGCAAAGACTTTAACGTGCTTGAAATAAAGTTCATTTTTCTTTATTTTTATTGAATGACAGAAGGTAGTAATACAAATAAAACTGCACTCTTAAAAGTCTTATTGCCTTAAGTCACGGTCCATTTCAGTTTGTTTTGACTGTACAGATTTAGTGTGACTGTAATTTACGTAGTTTTAATTATTTTTGGGATAAAAAATTACCTATATTAAAAATGATAGGAATCGATTCGGTAAACGATTCTGAACAAACTACTTTCTCAAAGTGCGTTAATCATGTTATTATATATATATATATATATATATATATATATATATATATATATATATATATATATATATATATATATATATATTATAAACGTCCACAGCTGAACACAGCCCCCCCCCCATAGATTGCCTTATAGGGGAGAATTTGCAATAGTTGCCACGCTAAGCAAGCAGGTTGGCTACCGTAGATTTCTATAATTTTTAGTTGTCATTAAGAAGGCATTGCTGCCCATCTCCTGCTTTGTGTCCCTCCGTCGCCTCTTACGGCCACCACGCTATGGGGCAGTGGATATTCTTACTTCGTACTACACGGGATTATCCGACTCCTCTTAAATCATAAATACTAAAAGTAAGATGGATGAATTATGCATAATGTGCATAAGTGTGTAATTTATGCATACGTATGTGTACTCTCTGTGTATTTACTGTAAAATAAAACTAACGTTAAGGGTTCAGAAAGCGTACCAGTGACTTCAAACGGAGGAGCTTACTGTTCTCAACCGACTTCAATAAAAGGTGGAGGTTCTCAATTCGACTGTTTTCTTTTATTCGAAAGCTGGTGCTTCTCATGTGGTCCCATATAAATTTGATCAAGATCTGGCCAGTAGTTTTTGAATTGTCCACCAGTAGTGCTTGAGTAGGTGAATAATGTGTATTTAATTGACTTCCACTACATTGATGATGTTCTCATCTTATTTATATGGAAGTCGGTTGTACAGTTTGTTAATTTTACCACTTGTAGTGACACAAAGCAAAGTGCAGCCGATCGGCGATAAACAACCTACACCATATCTAGCCATTCATTACACAGTCTGTGTTACTCGTAGTTTTTAAGTACCACGAATATAAAATTTACTAACTTACTAGATGTTGCTTTCTATTTAACAACACTGATTTAATGTTCGGGTAATCACACTGGCGGTAGAGCGCATGTCGTGGCTTTATTAGTCTAAGGGTCTTTTCAGTCATCAAATAAAAGTTATTCATATAAGATAAAATACATCATAAGTAAATTAAAAATTACAGTCGTATTAATAAAGCTTGTGCAACGTCCGTGTCAAACCTGGCATAGGCAGTTGTTGAGAGAACTACACTCAAAGTTGTCTACGGGTAAGTTTACCTAGGACAAATTGTCCGACTAGGTAAGTCTAACAACCGAGGAGGTCAATCGATGGATTTAATTTGGTTAACTAGCGTTCGGAAGACATGACACATTATTCTTTCTCATCACGTATACCTCAAAATCAGAAATAGAACAGAGCGCGTTGACGTTGATGACTGAAAGATGGTCTTTTACTACTGGCCGTATGATGATGCTTAAGGTTGCTTACCGAGCTATGAAGAGGGTTACTTTAGCTATTTCCATTGTATAATGACGCATGGTATTTTGCTATGGGCTATGGGAAATTATATTTATTTTACAGAAGAGGGCCATTAGAGCAATCTATAATTTAAAACCTACAGTCGCTCCAACAAAAATTTAAAGAACATACATATATTAACTTTGGCCTCTCAATACATTTATGAAAATGTAATAATTTCGTTACACAAAAATAAAAGTAATTTTACAAAAAAAAATGATATTCATTCTGTAAATACTAGGAACAGATACAAGCTAGCAGTAGCAGTTCGTGGGGGCGATGTATACGCTCTTACAACAAAATCCCAGAAAATATACAAAATTCAACCTGCACAAAGTTGAAAAACTTATTAAACAAGTTTGTATAAAAAGCGTTATTATAATATTAAGGATTTTATGGATGATAACCCCTGAGAAGGGTGATCGCTACCAAGCTATTCCTAATTTGTTGTGTGTTGTTAATTGTAACATACATGATTGTAAACTGCTATTTTTTTTTAAAAATCGGTTGGGTTTCTTGCTGGTTCTCCCCCGGACAAAGGTTTTTTACGAACCAGTGGTAAATTAAAGAAAGTGATTTTAAATAAGTATAATTTAAAATCTATATTGAATAAAAAAGTTTCTGTTTTTGGTTATGTTCGCAGTTGCTCTGCATAAAACCAGTACCAGTGTCTGCAGTGACCGACATAGAACAACGGCTTAGTAAGCCAAAGTAGCTATGGGCTGGTCATATGGTTTGAAGGACCGACAACCGATGGTTCTCGAGTGGCAGCCTCGTACCGGTAAGCGAAGCGTTAGGCGGATGGAATGACGATCAAGTAAGAGATGGAGGAAGTTGATGGATGCAGGTGGCTTAGAACCGTGCTTTATGATATTCTTTGGGGGAGGCTTATGTCCAGCATTGGTATAATGATGGGCTTTAATAATAATAAACACATCATCAGGAGCTCGCTCTGAAGTACAGTCTGGTGGATCGATAATTATCTTATTGTAAGTACTCGCCGGAAGCCGTGTTCAAAAGTGACCGCGTCAGGCGATACTGGGACCGGACCATTGGGATCGGGTCATTATCACAGGCAGCGTTTGCGAATCTTGCGAATACCTGATATTGTGTTTGTGGACCGGCCACACTCAAGGATATTTTCGGTAGATATTACCGTTTCGTAGGACTAGAACTTCTTGAAAGACGGAACAATTAACAAAAAAACCTGTGGACCTGTCTCATGAGGTTACCGACATGTAGGGTGGTATGCCGACTGTAATTATTCCAGTAGTCGTTTCTGCGAACTGGTTAATCCCGTTCAGCCTCTCGGGTATCAAAGGCGACTGGGGCGATGTAACGAAAAGCTCCGGGCTCAAGTGCAAAAGAGGGTGCTCCTCGATACCGCCCGCATCGTCCACCGGTCACTTTCTCTTTCCTCCTACCCCACAGCCGTTGGGTCTCCAATACTTCCGATCTTATTGGGTTTTATCTCTTTACTCAATAATATATAATATTAAAGTATTTGTACTATATTACTATATACTTTGATGGATAACTTTTATTTGATAATTAAAAAATCAGTTCTAAATAATAATCATTTAATAAAAGTGCCTGTTTCACTATATGTGTAGAAAATTCAAACAATAATAATATATCCTAACAATTATAAATAATGTGATGGTTTAGCTCGATCCGCCTATATTGCATGTGCATTTGCTGTTAAAAATATTTGCGCTGCAAGCTACAATTTAAGTATTAATTTCGCGCGACCGACACTGTCCGAAGACTTGAGCTAGCAATGCTACATAAAAGCGCCAAAACAAATCTAGTTATATAGTTAATTTCCTTTTAAAAGCAGTGGTGTTTTAATGTGCACTACATTGAGAATTGTTCAAATTGGAATCACCTTTATTCAAGCCATCGCCCCGCCTACATTTAAAATATTTATTAGAATTTTTACTCACTTATACAAACAAAACGTATGATTCAATTTTCTGTTTCTAAAGGTTGTTCTGTTTGGTTATTTTATTACAAAGATTAACAGGAATAAAAAATGCTTTTTTTCTTTGCTAGTCCATACGGAACAATTCAACTAGAAACTATTGAGTGTAACTACTGAGTTAAAATTTACAGCCTATATATATTATGTCCAACAACTGAGAAAAAGCCTCCTCTAATTTCTTAAAAAATATACAGCAGATTTTGAGAAATGTCAAATTCCACAGGAATTCATCTGTTCTCGAAATATTTCATTCCTCAGACATACAGGTTTCATCACAATATTTTCCTTCATCGACGAGCACGGTAAATCAGCACTTAGTTGTTTTTAACAATTTCACTGGTGCTGGCGGGGATAGACAGATAGAGTAGGAATAGAACCCGGGTTGCTCGCGTACAGATAAATTTACGGCGTACGCTTAGCCCCTAGGCTCTCTTTTGAATAAAATTTACACTTGATTTTTATTTCAGAATCTCTAACCGAATCTAAAACCGATTTATCTAAACTATAGGTTTTAAAGACATGATTTCCATGCCATGTATTTCCACGGATAAGGTCGCGTTGCTCAATATTTTTTAATGAAATTAATTGTATGCTATTTCTCATTAATTACGACAAAAAAAAAGATATTTAGTGTTTTAATTAATTAACTTTACTTGTAAACACTAAATGAAATACTGTTGGCACACAAACACATTAACATAAGTCGCTTAGCGGGTGGAATCTATTCTATCTATATACAGAGATCATTATCACCAGGCTGCAGTATCTACTACTCATCTTTAGCTTTCAGTTCAGTTGCTGTCAATTGTTTTAGGCAGATTTTTCCTTCATCTAGCCAGTCGTCACTTCACATAACGTTTGCATAAATGTGGTTAATTCTTGAGACTGATATACAATATGTAATAAAAACCCTATGGTCCCCGTTAACTGCGTTATCAGAATCAGTATCCAAGCATATAAAAATATTTTTTTCAAAAAAAAAACACATTTAAAAAAATTATTTTAATTAAAAAAATAATAATTTGCAAATTGTATGTGGTTTTATTATCTCTGCATTGGCCGAGGAGTAAGAAGATTGTCAAAGATCCCGCGTTACCGATACTTGTGTGAGTTAGAGGAAATAAAACCACATACAATTTGAAAATAAAATTTTAATGCATTAAAATTATATTTTTTTGTTTTTTTGAAAAAAAAAATATTTCTATACGCTTGGATACTGATTCTGATAACACACTTAACGGGGACCACATGGATATTGTATATCTTCTGTCTTACTCTAACAAATTTAAGCGTTATTTTTTTTTGAAATTTGGGCCGTCTATTTACAAGACACATTTTTAGTCAATAAGAAATTGATAAAATAAATGAGGAAATATAATCGTTACCTGTACGTCGCCGCTTATAAAGCACACACGCAATAACTCCGGCCACCATTATCATGCAAACGATAACAATAGCGGGGATGACGAACGTCACTAAATAGTCCGAGTACTCCGGATCGGCAGCGTTACTGGTTTTACTGTTCTGTAAATTCGTTCCGGCGTTAACTGGCACCAGACCAACTTTGGGCGTTTTTGTGCCTTGCTCAGCACACAGACCCATCGATATCAATCCTATGGACATCACTTTGAAGTCCTTATCGAAAATATGGTCGACTCTCTCCCGAAGATTGCCACCCATTGAGCCCCTTTCATCGACGATTATCATATTCCGCAGCTCTTCAATCTCTTTTTTGGGACACCTGTCCATCGGTAGGCTGGTGTTGTACCTGTAAGTAAAACATTTTTCGATAATGATTTCTTATATTTACGCGAACACTATACATGATTAAAACTACTTTTACGGACGCCATCTGGTATCAAGCAGCAAAATAGGAGCGTCAAGATCTTTCTAGAACTCTCCCACTACCGCTATCTAGTATCGAATGGAAGAATTAAGCTTTCTAGAAAGCCCCATACTGGAACTTTCTGCACCTGGTCGGTCGGGGCCGGTATTTGCTAGAATGTTCTGGATGTTTCGGTGGGAAAGGCCTATTTAAAGCCGTTGAGGGCTGCGAACGGGGAGTAGTATTGAATTGGCGATACGAGCGAAGCTTTCGGAGTGAAATAAAGTGAACTAAAGTGTTAAGTGTGAATAATTATTTGTGTGATTTAAGTTTTAATTGGTGTTCAGTAATTAAGTTGTCAATTTTGTCAATAGGCAGTTTTTATTGTCACGAACCCCAAGCTCGTAACAAAAGTTTGCTCATTCGAGTAGTAATATTCTTAGTTACTGTTCAACTAACCAGATGATAGTGGTAGGTTTGTCCGTGATGCTTTGTATTCTTATATTATCAGTCTCCTTCTGGCCGAACAATGCTGCCAGTTTCTCGACAACCTTGCGTTTGTTGTTAGCGCTGTTGGCCAGGTTAGAGTACGGGTAGTCCAGTGTCATGTGGAACTCCACCGTTGGCCTAATTGCTGGCGCCTTTACTACTTCAACTATGAGGCTATCGTATGCACTCTTCTTGCTTGAGTCTTCAGCGATCTGAAATAAATTCAATAGGGTTCGAATAAATACTTTACTAGAAGTCTTTAGAAGTACCTGGTTTTATTATCTTGTGTACACAGATGCACATAACCGCCTACTTATGTCTGGCTTCAGCATTAAATGATATTATAATAATATAATGTCCTCCAGAACGAATTTCGGCCACGGCGACCTGCCTCAACGGAGGCTAGCCATCGGCGCAGGACAGTATTATAGTGCCCAAGTGTATGCGCAAGCACAGGTGCAATCTCTATTCCCTCACTTTCATAATCCGGATGAGACGGTAAACCGACACGACCGGAGAGAGATCAGGCGCAGGACCAACGGCTTTACGTGCTTTCTGAGGCACGGGGGTGAGACACCGCCAACTTCCTGACTCCGGGCAGCTACTGAGAATTTCTTAACGGAAAAACTCAATAACTGATTTTTTGGCCCGATTCGGGATTCGAACCCAGGACCTCATGATCAGTAGTCGCACTACTATAACCACTAGACCAACGAGGCAGTCAAATGATATTATACGGGTTAGCAAGGTACTATCTGATTTCTACTAGAGTGATCAAAAAGCTTTCGGAAAAGGACACTTATCAATGACTTATAGAAATGTGTTGTAATTTTTTCGAACCTTAAATTCGTTAGTAGCCAAGCGTGAAAAAAACTAAATTAAAACTATAACCCATTTTTTTAAAACTTGAAATTTGGTAGGAATTGATTAGTATGCAAAATGGAGAAACTCGAACTTCGTGCGATTATTAAATTTCTGGTTGAAATTTTTTTAAAGTGTTTTTGAAGAATTGCAGTCAACTTTGGCAGAGAATGCTCCATCTTATTCTACAGTGGCATTCTGGTGCGTTGAATTTAAACACGACAGAATCGGCTGCAATGACGCCGCTAGCTCCGGCCGTCAACAATGGCCACTACGCAAAAAGTAAAAAAATCGAAGATATTACAAATTATTAAAGTAAATCGACACGTGACCATCCGTTATTTAGTTCAGATATTAAAGTTTTTGTTTGGGAACAATTCAGTTTATTTTAACTCAAACCTTGAAATTCAAAAAGGTGACTGCGCGCTAGGTTCCTCGAATGTTAACCGACGCCCAAAAAAATGCAAGAGTTGACATGTCAAAGTTAAATTTAGCAATATTTGAAGAAGATCCAGATTCTTTTTTCGTAACCGTAAATGAAGTGACATGGGTACACCATTTTGACCCGCAGACGTAAAACAAAAGCAAGGTGTAGAAAAAACCGTCTTCCCCGCTAACAAGAGATTCATAGTGTCTGCTTCCGTTGGCAAAATAAAGGTCTCTGTCTTCTGAGATGCGGAAAGTATAATATATATAATAATAAACTGCAGCGAGTGAGCGGCGTAAACAAAAGGAACAAAGCGCGTGGTGGACTAACGAGTTGGTAGTGCATGGTGCCTTCGTCGGCGGGTGCGGGCAGCCCATAGAACTCCTGGTTGCGGGCGTCGAACTGCAGCCAGTGCGCGGGGGGCAGCGGCGCACGGTCGCCGCGCACCAGCGTCAGTGCCAGCTGCCGCGTGCCGCCGTCCTCCGGGTCGAAGAACGTGTCCTGCACAACAATTTCACATTTTATTATTCATAACGTTTCCAAAGTCCCGCTGGGTTTCTTGCTGGTTCTTCCCTGGACAGAGGTATTTTACAAATCAGTGGTAAATAAAAAAATGACTAACAATAAGTACTATGTTGTAGTAATCTAAATTGAATAAAATCATTCATATCATTTAATTTCAATAGCCAACGCATTTGTTAACGCGCTCTAACGTTAGCCATACAGGTTACCGTATACTGACAGCAAAGAAAGAACGCGTATGTTACGTGAATGTCCTATACACAACTAAAGCATACCGACGGATGTAATTGTACTTTTATTTATTTATTTACTTTATGGTACGGTGAGTACATATGAAAACGTTCGCCTTGGGCACCTTGTACACGAGCAGGTGTTCCACCGTGGCGGTGAGGTGGTCCATTTGGTTGCGCGTGACAGGCGGGTAGGTGTCCTGCGGCGGGCGGGCGGGGGCGGTGCACTCACCTCGGGCACCTTGTACACGAGCAGTTGTCTCACGGTGGCGGTAAGGTAGTCCACTTGGTTGCGTGTGACGGGCGGGTAGGTGTCGAGCGGCGGGCGGGCGGGGGCGGTGCACTCACCTCGGGCACCTTGTACACGGGCAGTTGTCCCACGGTGACGGTGAGGTGGTCCACTTGGTTGCCCGTGACAGGCGGGTAGGTGTCGTGCGGCGGGCGGGCGGGGGCGGTGCACTCACCTCGGGCACCTTGTACACGAGCAGTTGTCCCACAGTGGCGGTGAGGTGGTCCACTTGGTTGCGCGTGACAGGCGGGTAGGTGTCGTGCGACGGGCGGGCGGGGGCGGTGCACTCACCTCGGGCACCTTGTACACGAGCAGTTGTCCCACACTGGCGGTGAGGTGGTCCACTTGGTTGCGCGTGACGGGCGGGTAGGTGTCGTGCGGCGGGCGGGCGGGGGCGGTGCACTCACCTCGGGTACCTTGTACACGAGCAGTTGTCCCACGGTGGCAGTGAGGTGGTCCACTTGGTTGCTCATGACGGGCGGGTAGGTGTCGTGCGGCGGGCGGGCGGGGGCGGTGCACTCACCTCGGGCACCTTGTACACGAGCAGTTGTCCCACGGTGGCGGTGAGGTGGTCCACTTGGTTGCCCGTGACGGGCGGGTAGGTGTCGTGCGGCGGGCGGGCGGGGGCGGTGCACTCACCTCGGGCACCTTGTACACGAGCAGTTGTCCCACGGTGGCGGTGAGGTGGTCCACTTGGTTGCTCATGACGGGCGGGTAGGTGTCGTGCGGCGGGCGAGCGGGGGCGGTGCACTCACCTCGGGCACCTTATACACGAGCAGTTGTCCCACGGTGGCGGTGAGGTGGTCCACTTGGTTGCGCCTGACGGGCGGGTAGGTGTCGTGCGGTGGGCGGGCTGCGGGCGGCGCGGCGCAGGGCCCGGCGCCGCGCCATCGCACGGCCGCCACCTTCAGATCGGGCGACATGGCGCGCGCCAACGCTGCCGACGGACTGCCCGCTTCCGACTCCGATTCCATTATCTGAAATTACGTGAAACTGTTCATTCTACTTTCAATCACATTTCGTCCTGTAACCTCAAATCTTTATCAGATTTGTTTAACCTAATGCTTTGTCCTTTCCGGTGGACTGCGTTATAACTATATCAATAAAAATGAGGACACAGTCCACCTTACGTACGTGGTCCACATTCACGTGGTATGGTACAAACAGCAGCTTGTGAAATCGCAAGATCGCTCAGATTTTGGCCATCTTTATAGTACCTTTATAATATCGGCAGCTGGTACAGTAAGCCGGCAAGCTAATAAATGAGATTGCACTATTGTTAGATGAAGTATATTCATCATGGCATAATATAAATCTTAAGTCTAAAAGCGTTTAATTTTGATTAACTTGTGATTATTTTGTGATTATTAACTGTGATGATTTATATTTAAAATAGTGATTTACAATAATTAAAACAGAATAGTAAGGATAATTCCCGCGCCGCGCGAGACCTAAATGCCTACTGTTGTCACTGTTTTTTTGTTTAGCAACCAAGTCTCATTTAGGTTTATAAATAGTTATAATATTTACAAACATAATACATGCGGATACGTACCTATGCATCATATTTGTTAATAATTTCGTTAGTTTTCTCTGAAATGTTTCTCAAAAAATCCCAGCTTTACACTATAACAAAAGCCAAATAACTAAAATACAAGTAAATTAACACTGAGCATATGGTGTCTGCTCAGATTTAATGTTTAAAATTAATTTGATGCAATGTGATATGATAATTAATGTACTTATGAGGTGTAGTGGGTGTGGAGTTTGTTGTTATGTGTATAGATAAATAATGTTCAACACTTCGTACACTAACACATTTATTGCACAGAAATACAAAGTCACACCACTAATTATATAGTCAGAAGGAGAATGCAACACTTACAAGAAGAAACAAGCTTATAGATATAAAGAAAAGCGAAGAGAAGCTTAAGAGAAAAGAGTTAACAGGATTTATTACACACGTAAATATTTTAATAGCAAGCGTCCGTAAGCTAAAGCGACAACCTCTCTCCGTCGTAGTACGTACTAACTGACTGATCAAGGTACAAGGAGGCGTTGCGCTCCCGCCACTCGCTTGCAGCCGTTGCCTCACGAGATAGACCTTATATGGTAATGAATCGATGACACCACCGGGATCGAACCTATGAGCGTCGACCAACTGGTATGATGTTATGTTATTAGTGTAAATTGTAGTTTGTTAAATGCGCGCGTGTGTGTGTGTGTGAATGTATATTTATGTTATATATTATGTATAGGTTGCAAGTTCCCCACATCACCCCCCCTCCAGAGACCTGGCTAAGGGCGATAAAAATCGGTAAATTTTACACGACGTCCTGAACGTGTTATGTGTTCTTTCGTGGTTTTTACAGCATTATTAACATCGAGTTTATCTGATGCGTCACATAGTATATGGGCTGGTTTAAGGAGATCAATTGTAACCGTAACTTCCTTCCCGTTAACCAAGACCTTAAATATTTTGTCGTTTCTAGTGAGGACCTTGTGAGGACCGCTGTATTTAGGCTGCAAGGATCCACGTGATGTGTCCTCACGTACAAATACGTGGTTGCTGTGGGCAAGATCTTTAAAAATGAAGACGTTTTTATTGTTATGGTGAGACATAGGCACTGGACGTAATTTTTGAGCAAACGCGCGAATGCGGGATGCAAATTCGGTTATGTCCGTTGTACCGCTGGCACTGGGCTCAAAAAATTCTCCGGGCAAAGATAAAGGTTCACCATACAATAATTCAGCAGAGGATGATTGCAAGTCCTCTTTGAACGAACTGCGTATGCCTAACAATACCCATGGCAGTGACTCGTCCATTTTTCTCGTGTATGACACATTATGGAAGATTTAAGCTGCCTATGGAATCGTTCCACCAGTCCATTACTTGCCGGATGGTAAGCCGTCGTGCGTTTGTGCTGGATTCCGGCTATTTTGGCGAGTTGTTGGAAAAGGTTTGACTCGAATTGCTTACCGCGGTCAGTTATAATGTCTGTGGGGCAGCCAAATCGAGCTATCCAACAAGATAATAAAGCCTTCGCAACCGTTTCTGCTGTTATATCAGCGATCGGAACAGCTTCGGGCCACCTTGTGAAGCGGTCAACACACGTCAGACAATAACGGTAGCCATCCGACAATGGCAATGGCCCTACCAGATCGATGTGAATTTGTTTAAACCTTGTACGCGGTATTTTAAACGTGCCTATAGGTGAGCTAACATGCCGATATATTTTCGAACGTTGGCATGGTAAACACGTTTGTGACCACTCCCGACAGTCTTTTCTAACTTTCGGCCACACGAAACGTTCTGCCACTAACCTGGCGGTTGCGTTAGCGCCTGGATGACTGAGCGAATGTAAAGTATTAAAAACTAGTTTTCGGAAAAACTTGGTTACAAATGGCCGGGAAGTCGGTGTACTGACGTCGCAGTACAATGGGGTTCGACTCCCGGGTATAGTAAGTTTTTCTAGGCGTAGTGAAGAGCCTTCTTTTATGAGCTTTTCAAGCTCAGGGTCAGAAGCTTGGCTTTTAGCTAATGCTTCTAAGTCAATAGGCGCCTCCAATGCCTCTACACGTGAAAGTGTATCGGCAACAACGTTGTCCTTACCGGAAATATGCCTGATATCAGTAGTAAACTGGGCTATATAATCTAAGTGCCTATACTGCCTAGGTGAACAGTTGGATTTCCTTGCATGAAATGCGAAACTGATTGACTTGTGGTCCGTATATACTGTGAAATTTCTTGCTTCTAACATGTAGCGAAAATATTTAATAGCCTCATAAATTGCTAGGAGCTCCCTGTCATAAGGGGAATATTTTGTCTGAGAAGCGTTCAGCTTTCGGGAGAAAAATGCTAGTGGCTGCCACGCGTCTTCTTTTAACTGCTGTAGGACAGCTCCAATTGCATTATCCGAAGCATCAGTGACTAAAGCCAATTTTGCTTGGCAATCTGGATGCGCTAATAACGCTGCCTCAGAAAGGCTTTCTTTGCATATTTTAAATGCATTTAAAGACTCACCAGATAGTGTAATAGGCTGGTTATTCTTTATTACGCCTGCCAACAAGGCGTTAAGCGGTGCTTGTATTTCTGCAGCACGTGGTAAAAATCGCCTATAAAAATTGACCATGCCCAGAAATCGTCGAAGTTGACGAACATTGGTGGGCAATGGGAAGTTTTTTATGACTTCTACTTTAGTGTCTAGTGGTTTGTTGCCTGATGCCGAGATGTGATATCCCAAAAAGGATACTTCTCGAGCACCAAAAACACACTTGGATGTATTAATTAGCATACCATATTCTTTTAGTTTATGAAAAATTGCACGCAAATGCTGTTCATGTTGTGCCTCGTCCTTTGAAAAAATTAAAAAATCGTCTAAATAACAATAGCAGAAGTCGAGTCCCCTTATCATTTCGTCCACAAACCTCTGGAACGTTTGTGCAGCATTCCGTAAACCGTAACCCATGAATGGAAACTCAAAGAGTCCAAAAGGCGTTGTTATTGCAGTTTTAGGTACATCTTCAGGACTAACTGGTATTTGGTTGTAAGCCTTAACTAAGTCTAATGTACTAAAAATTTTGCAACCGGATATACTATGTGCAAAGTCCTGAATGTGCCTGATCGGATATCTGTCGGGCACCGTTCGAGCGTTAAGCATTCTGTAGTCCCCGCAAGGACGCCAACCATTATCTTTTTTTGGAACTAAATGGAGTGGCGAAGACCAAGAACTTTCAGAAGGCCTAGCTATCCCATTATCTAGCATGGATTGGAACTCTTGTTGGGCTATTTTCAGTTTATCTGGAGCGAGGCGACGAGGTGAACAAGAAACTGGAGGTCCTGGTGTCGTACGTATATGGTGAACTGTGTTATGCTGTATAGTGCGGTGTATACCAGCTGGTCGGGTAATTTCCGAAAATTCTGTTAAAATTTGGTGGTATTTTGTGTTACCAGTTAAAACCTTAATTGATGAAATATTGGTTGATTTTACTTCTGAGGCAGTGGCTACCATAGATGTTGTACTATCAGTAATACGCTTGTTACGGCAATCTACAATTATACTATAATAGTTTAAAAAATCTACACCAATAATGGGCTTTGTTACATTTGCAACTACAAAACGCCACTTGAATATTCTACGTAAGCCAAAATCTAAGTTTAAATGTACATAACCATAAGTGTCTATATGAGAACCGTTGGCTGCACTTAGCTGGTATGTAGTCCGAGCACGACGTTCACGTAGCAACGACCGAGGAAAGACGCAGAGATCGCTTCCTGTATCGACCAGGAACTGAGTCTTCGAGATGTGGTCGGTTACGAATAGACGACCAGTTGAGTAGGGGCAATCGTCGGTCGACATCACCGATTGCCCTTGGAGTTTTCCGACCGATAGTCACATGGGCGTACACATTTATCTGCCTTATCGCCGAATTTAGAGTGGTACCAGCATAAAGGAAATTTTCTGTAGCTGGACTGAGACCTTGATGAAGAGCGACCTTTACGAGTATCTCGTTTAGAGCGTGATCGTGGTCTACTTCTGTTGTGCATTAGAGTAAGCGCTTGCACTTCTTTTCTAAGCGCTGCAACTTCTTTCGCAAGGTCGTTGTACACCGGTTCATTATGAGAACGACTTGTTGATGCCACCTGGGGCGATGATGGTACCAGGTCGTGAATCCTATCGGCTACGTCCGCTAGTGTCTAGATGGATGTATGCGGATGGCCTGCTAAAAATGTTTGGATGCCAGATGGAAGACGGCTGATCCAAATGGTTTTCATAAAATCATCCGAGACCTGTATGCCAGCAAGACCTTGCAGGTGACGGAGAAACTGTGATGGTTTTCTGTCACCCATTTCTTCGTGCATTAATAACTGTGTGAGCTTTTTCTCTTTGGACGCACTCAGCCGCTTAATTAGCTCGTTCTTCAGCTTGTCATATTTATTACTAGTTGGTAGGTTAATTATAATGTCTTTTACCTCCACTGAGTACTGGTTATCCAGCTGACCAATAACGTAATTGAATTTAGTTGCATCACTTGTAATGCCGGATATATTAAATTGACCTTCCACCTGGGCAAACCATATCTCTGGCTCCTCCGGCCAAAATGGTGGTACACGAACTCCAACCTTACACAGTTCTAATGTAGGCTCATTTTGCGGCGTCTCTGTAGTTGCTAAGTGAGACTGGGCGCGGTCGCCTGCAAACGTTCTAGCATCTTCGAACTTGTTCTCGACGTTGCTCATTTTTGTGTTCAATCGGGGTCACCAATGTAGTGGGTGTGGAGTTTGTTGTTATGTGTATAGATAAATAATGTTCAACACTTCGTACACTAACACATTTATTGCACAGAAATACAAAGTCACACCACTAATTATATAGTCAGAAGGAGAATGCAACACTTACAAGAAGAAACAAGCTTATAGATATAAAGAAAAGCGAAGAGAAGCTTAAGAGAAAAGAGTTAACAGGATTTATTACACACGTAAATATTTTAATAGCAAGCGTCCGTAAGCTAAAGCGACAACCTCTCTCCGTCGTAGTACGTACTAACTGACTGATCAAGGTACAAGGAGGCGTTGCGCTCCCGCCACTCGCTTGCAGCCGTTGCCTCACGAGATAGACCTTATATGGTAATGAATCGATGACACCACCGGGATCGAACCTATGAGCGTCGACCAACTGGTATGATGTTATGTTATTAGTGTAAATTGTAGTTTGTTAAATGCGCGCGTGTGTGTGTGTGTGAATGTATATTTATGTTATATATTATGTATAGGTTGCAAGTTCCCCACAGAGGTATGTATTTATATATAGATATAGTAATATAACCTATTAAAAAAGACTGCTAGCAAAATTTTATTAAAAGTCAACAAAGTGTCAAACAAAGCTAATTGAGGCGCGGCGGTGGCCCTCCCCGACTCGGCTAGACAAAGGTCTGTATATATTACTTTCCGACATAGCAAGTGTCGTTGTGTGCGTGCTGTGGCTCGTGCGTACGAGTCCGTACTGTCACGTGCCAGGCACACACACATATTACTTTCCGACATAGCAAGTGTCGTTGTGTGCGTGCTGTGGCTCGTGCAAACGAGTCCGTACTGTCACGTGCCAGGCACACACACATATTACTTTCCGACATAGCAAGTGTCGTGTGCGTGCTGTGGCTAAAGCGTACGAGTCCGTACTGTCACGTGCCAGGCACATACACATATTACTTTCCGACATAGCAAGTGTCGTTGTGTGCGTGCGGTGGCTAATGCGTACGAGTCCGTACTGTCACGTGCCAGGCACATACACATATTACTTTCCGACATAGCAAGTGTCGTTGTGTGCGTGCTGTGGCTCGTGCAAACGAGTCCGTACTGTCACGTGCCAGGCACACACACATATTACTTTCCGACATAGCAAGTGTCGCTGTGTGCGTGCTGTGGCTCATGCGTACGAGTCCGTACTGTCACGTGCCAGGCACGCACACATATTACTTTCCGACATAGCAAGTGTCGTTGTGTGCGTGCGGTGGCTCATGCGTACGAGTTCGTACTGTCACGTGCCAGGCACACACACATATTACTTTCCGACATAGCAAGTGTCGGTGTGCGTGCTGTGGCTAAAGCGTACGAGTCCGTACTGTCACGTGCCAGGCACACACACATATTACTTTCCGACATAGCAAGTGTCGTTGTGTGCGTGCTGTGGCTCGTGCGTACGAGTCCGTACTGTCACGTGCCAGGCACGCACACATATTACTTTCCGACATAGCAAGTGTCGTTGTGTGCGTGCTGTGGCTCATGCGTACGAGTCCGTACTGTCACGTGCCAGGCACGCACACATATTACTTTCCGACATAGCAAGTGTCGCTGTGTGCGTGCTGTGGCTCATGCGTACGAGTCCGTACTGTCACGTGCCAGGCACGCACACATATTAGTAGCGTTCGGTACATTTATTAGAATAGAGCCTACTATACTGTTTTTACTATGGATTTATTGTCAGTATTTGTGGATAAAATTAAAGTTTACTCGTTTCGCGTGTCTTCTGATGGCTAGATGCATGTGACTATTATATTTATATATCGTTTATTTAATATGAACTTGAAAAGTTATCGTTAATTAAGATTAAAGGTAAATGGAAAGATAGATTTATTAGTATTTAATGATAACTTCCTTAATTTTAATAAGAAAACGATAAAAACAAACAGCAGGTAAGTTAAAATAAATAATTCTATTTTCTAAAAGTAATAATAACGTCCTCCAGACCGAATATCGGCCACGGCGGCCTGCCCCGACGGAGGCTAGCCATTGGTGCAGGACAGGATTATAGTGCCCAAGTGTATGCGCAAGCACAGGTGCACTCTCTACTCCCTCACTCTCGTAATCCGGATGAGACGGTAAACCGACACGACCGGAGAGAGATCAGGCACACGACCAACGGCTTTACGTGCTTTCCGAGGCACGGGGGTGAGACACCGCCAACTTCATGACTCCGGGCAGCTACTGAGAATTTTTTGACAGAAAAACTCAATAATAGATTTTTGGCTCGATTCGGGATTCGAACCCAGGACCTCATGATTAGCAGTCGCACTACTACAACCACTAGAGATTATTATAATAAATTTAGTCGTACCTTCATGAGCCTATTAATGTCGTCCATTGGACACGACGGATCCTTCGGCAGCGTGTCATTGGTCCACACGTATTCACACATATCTCCGTCGGTGGTAGCATTTAACACTGTCAAGTGGTCCATGTCGGTGTCCCTGAACAGGTTGACGATGCCTTCCAGCGCCCTTATCTGCCAATCTATCGCGTTGGTGTAGTCATTGACCAGTTTGAATTGCATGATGAACTGGTGGTTGATGGTACGCGCGCTCTTGTGTTGCTGCACTGTGATATCGAGAGGTCCTCGTGCTACCAGACCTTCGCTATCCTGAGCTTCCACTATGAAGTTCCAGCGAGACACGTGCGACTCGAGAGGTCTGACCACAAAAAAAATGCATTTTTATATAAATACTAGTAGTTCCGGAAGACGTAGTTCTGCTATTTCCGGCAGGTGGCGCGATGAGTTAATTCTGAATTCGCTTCAGACTTTTCAGTGTATATCTATACATATAATAAATCTGTAGAAAAGTAATTTGTTCATGACTCACGCAAAAGCTACTGGACGGATTTCCACGAAATTTAGTATGTAGACAGTAAATGGTGGCGTATCTTTTTTATAGAATTGGGTGACAAATAAGCATACAGTCCAACTGACGGTAAGTGGTTGCTGCGGTATATAGACATTTACATCTATCTTCGATTACAAATCAAAATGCAGATGCGTTGCCACCCGTGAGGACTAAGATGGAGTGCCTCGTTTCCAGTAAAAAGTGTCTCCGGTTCTCTACACTCACCATACGAAACACAGCAGCATTAAGCTACTATTTCACGCTGGTATTCTGTGAGAGCGTGGTCCTTCCCCGGTCGAGCCGACCCATTCGTGCTACAACTATACTACTAATAAAACTGCAGCATTGCTCTACCACGTATAAAATCTAGACAATTTTTTACTGAAGACTAAAAAGAAGTGTTTTTCTTTTTTTTTTAAGTTTACTGTCATAATGATTTTGCTGGTTCTATTAGTCACAAGAGGATTTAGCTACACGTATTAATTATTTAATATTATATTAATATATTAATTATTAATTAATTAATCTATAGAAAAGTAATTGTGTAAAAATGAAACTCATCGCGTAACCAGAAAAAGCAGAACAACGTCTGCCGGGCCAGCTAGTAGAAAATGTATTAAAAGCTCGACCAAAGCCCTCCTATCGGGTCAGGTATATAGTGAATATGAGTAATTATTGTGCCTCTACATATAATACCTCATTACTTGACAGCGACACTTAACTAAACCTAACCATCACCATATGAACCATCATCTCGACAACATAAAAGTAGCGTATGATTATGACATCAATTGGTCAAGTCGTTCAGAAATTACACAATCACTAAAAGACGCACCAAGGATTATATATTATACATAGATGTAGCAGTTCGGCGGATGGCGAAAATCCATAATAAAATTCCGAATTCGAATTTCAGAGTTTGGTGACCAGGAGCAACATTACCAATAACAACAGCCTGGCGCTCACTGCTGACCGTGTGGTGGCGCTGTAACAATATCCACTTGCACATACCGTACCGAGGGAGTCATGACAGGCGACAGAGGGATAAAGCAGGACGTGGGCACAGCATCTTCCTGATTACATCTCAATATAATAAAGAATGGCGGTTGCCAACCCGCTTGCCAAACGTGGCAACTATAGCGAAATATCCCCATGAGACAATCTATAACTGAGGCCTATGTTCAGCAATGGACTTTTATAGTTTGTAATGCAATGGATGGATGGCTCACCAATTCAGCAGCGTGGCAGCATAAAATATAGATAGGTATTTATTAGAGCGAGAGTATCGACTGTTCTCCCTCTAACCCGTCTTGCCTTTGTCGTGGACTAAGGGAGTTCTTAAAAAAATAATAGCAGTAGGTATTATAAGGCCTATAATCTAGTAGTAAAGTGGAAATTGTTGATGCGTAACTTAGCAGGTCTCTTGGTCTATCCGTTCACGTTCTTTTCACTGCAGGGGGTATAGATATTTTAAGATTTATGGAAGGGTAAGGAGAAGCTAACGCCACCATGGTTCGAATATCGGCAACATTATTGTTCAATATCTACAGACGAAGAGATTGATAAACTGGAAACAGAGTCATTCACTTTGGTTCGATTGCTCAGCGCAGAGATTGTTTGATGATTCTTAGGAAAGATCTTTATCTTCACTGTAGTAAGTGCTATAATATTGTGGCAAACACTAATGACGCAACACTCACGTCATAAGTTGATCTAATGAATTACGTAGTACAGCCACGCTGCATCCATAATAGCTGTAGCAAGAACGGATCGCTTCGAGCGGGGCCAGACCACGCTCTCACAGACTATCAGCGTGAAATAGCAGCTTAATGCTGCTGTGTTTCGTATGGTGAGTGTTGAGAACCGGAGAACCATTTTACTGGAATCGAGGCATTCCATTTTAGTCCTCAAGGGTGACAACGCATCTGCATTTTGATTCTTAATCGCGGATAAATGTAAACGTCTACGGACCACGGTATCTACTTACCATCAGGTGCACTGTGTGCTCGTTTGGCACCCATAAATAGAATATGAAGATTATGCACTAGCAGCAGTTATGCATACCCATATACAGAATATGAATATGATTAAAAAAATACGTTACTGATAGTTCTGTTACGCAAGGCCACCAAAATACCAATTTTAATTGCTTTTAGTGAAAGACTGAGTTTTAGAATGAATAGAAAATTTATGTATGTATGAATTTGGAGTGCTACACTACTTTTGGCTTTTCTATGATCTGTTGCGTGTTCAAAGAGAATAACAACCCATTTGCATTGCAGTAGGTACCTCAAGAAATTTTTGACAGCTTCGGTTGTAGACGGTTTTTCTAAAAATCAATGTGTGTAAAATTACTTAACATACTTATAATAAATAAAAAGCTTACAATCCGTAGACTTCACGTTTGGTAGGAATGAACTGGATCCAAGAGTTCCTGCTGAGTGGCACATTTTCGGAATCGTACATTGTGAATGTCAGATTGGTGCCTTCCTCTGGATCGGTGAACAGGTCAGCCGGGATGATGTATCTGAAGTAGTAACTTGTGAATTAAAGAACTGTAGAAAAATTACAAACTAGCCTTCGCCTGCAGCTATGTAGCAGCAAAAATTGATAATAAGGTAAAATGGAAAACAGAAGAGTTCCTCATCTAGAATTCAAACAATATTAAATATTCATAATTATGATCAGAATAGAAGAAGAATGACCCATTCGCCGTAGTCTACATCACCTGAGGATGCCGCGTGTAGAGGCGAAACACATGTCGTATTGTCGTCGATGGTGTGTCTTACCTGGAATAGTGGTGTTGGGAGTAGTGATGCTGAGATTAGTGGTGACGGGATTAGTGCACGCGATTGAGGGAGGGCGGGAGGTGCTCTTTAAACTAGGCGAGACATATCATTTGATTTTATTCAGTGGATGGTTGCAAAGTAACTATTAATATCTTTATTATAATGGATTTCTGCAAAGTAACGCCTGATTCAATCAATTATCTTACAACACTAATCAAATCTCTTCAGATGTTGCTTCTTGAAACTGATTCCGATTAAAGTATCATTTTAGTGAGATATAATATACTCGTAGGATAATAGATCACTACAATCGAGTTTTTTGTTTTCTAACAATAAATATTAATGTTTGTTTATAAAAATGTTCCTTAATATTATTATTACTATAACAAATGTGAATATTCCACACATGTAAGCTCTGTTCATTTATGAAGAGATTACTAGTGTTTTAAGGTTATATGTTATACAATTAATTCCTTTTTATTAACAGAAAATTGATGTTTTCGTAACAAATTTTATTTCTTCTAAAAATGTATTTATATGATTTTGGAATTTATTTCATTTAATCTAATGAAATACAAAAGTATTCGATTGATGCAGATGGCTCAGGGCCGTACTTTTTGGCAATCTATTGGAGGCTTGTGTTCATCAGTAGCTTGTGATGGGCTGTATTGATAGCGATAGCAAAATGATGAAATTCCGAGAAAATATTCAAATGTAATATAATATATTGTATCACGCACAGGAAAAACATATCTTCCTCTTGACGCAGTCTGGTAAAAATACCAATTAATAATTTTCGATTCAGAATAATATAATTGGCCCATTGTCTGACGATGCACACAACATGTAAGCCTTGCTTGTTTATAATATTATCATATTTTTAAAATAATAAAAGTTAAGTATTAATTTTAACTTTTCCCGTTCCCCTTAACCCTCGGCCGTTTGGTTTCCTCAGTCGAGGGCTTCCATCTGGTTGGGATTTTATTTATTAATGTATTTTTAATTTATTTATTTTACTACGTTAAATGTATCTTTATTATTTATTTCTTAATTCTTAAGAAAAAATACATTAATACACCATAGAGTAATAATTTTTAAAATGTAACCTGAAAGCTTTTCCGGCCGTAATCGCTAATTTCTTCATGTGGTACTTGAGCGTAGGCGGCTGGTTGACGGGCATCGCGAACGTCACGGTTTCTGTCGTGCGTCCGATTATAGTACTGCTGCGCTCCGACGAGAACGGCATATCCTGATATATGTAGTATAAAAATAGTTGAATTTATTTTAATTATAACTAGATGTGTTTTTTCAAAATAACGATGTATACCTTTATATAAATTTTAGAATCAATCGGATATAACGATATAAGAGCTCCAAACAAGCCTAAATTGAAAAACTAAATTTAATTTACTTTAAAATAAAGTAAATAAGGGGGCTGTCGACTGTCTACTACTATCAACTGTCACACTTACATTAATTTATGAAAGACACACCGTTACGTTTTACGAAACTAGGCTATTCTCAGGCAATGCAACAAATTAAGATATTTTACTTTTGGAAGTTTCCACACTTGTAATTACTAAATAAGATTGATTTTAAGATTTAATGTAAATAATAAGAAGATGTAATTAGAATACTAAATTTAATTTTTGTGTTTTTTGTTAAATATATAATTGCATAATGCATATGCAAAATCATAACTGTTTATGTATATTTAAATTAAAACTGTTTCATAATCATAGAGCAACCCGGGCTACCGGCGGACCGGAGGGAAGTAAACATACGCATGCGTTCCCCTCTGTTAAAGTACAAGTCCATACGGTCGTGTATGGGGTATGTTCCGAAACGTTTTCAATATATTGCCGAATACAAATGACGTCATCAATTGACACTATATTGTACTGGCGTGCCGCTGCCATATTGTGTCGGATATCCGGCCATAATAAAACAATTTTTAATTTTGTGTGCGCTGAATGAAGCATGACAGAATTTGTTTTTATTTATTCAAATACAAAAAATTTGCTGGTATCTCAATTAGGAGGATATAATGATTTTTGGAGCACAAAATGACAAAATAATCGCCAACACTTTTCAAATATGGCGCAAATGTATGACGTCATATACTGTCCTATGTTTTGGAACGAATCACCAGTATAGCGTCGATTCATGACGCCATTTGCATTGGACAGTACACTGGGTTCTATTTTGGAACATACCCATAATAAATCTATTTACGGCCGCACTGCTCTATAGATACGTCACACCCATTTTTCGAAGACCGCGCAACGTCCTTATGGAACCACCACGTCCGCTCGATTCCGTCGAGCCAAACATCATAAGTACATCATACGATGACACTACACCTATATCTAATGAAACAAGCACCAATAGGATAGCGGATAGTTCTCACACACACTGCGTACATGGGCGGTTCTCACCGTCCAAAACATCGACCGACACGACCTAAGCAGTCAGAGAAGGAAGCCCGCACTCCACCACTCGGACAGCGATAAGATAGCTCAAAAAGCCCCCACAGAGGGGACATTATTACCTTCTTCGCCTTTCCCTTCTTTTAAACAGTACTGTATCAAATGAATCTCAAAAGGCTCTCAAAAGGCTAACAACACTAACACGGAATAAAGATAGGATAAAGATACTGCTCCTAGACTTAATGCAGTTGCGAGGCTGAATCGACGTCCTACAATAATGCAATATACATACAGTAATAATTTTAAATCACATTATTGCTATTTAGTTATTTTTAAACTTAATAAATACAATAATAACGATCGTCTTTCTTGAATTTATGTACTAACAGGTCGCTCGCATCATACAATATGCACATTGGAGGAGCGTCTGATACGAGCCTATATCAGAGTGAACATAATAGATTTCATAATTATTTCATCTGTATAGACATAACGATTTTTTTATTTAACTGGCTTTACGGCTCTGGGTTCTAGCCCTTCTAAGCCTATAATTTCTTTCAGAATCTTCATTTTATATATTTTTTCTTCACAATATGCTGATGCATCACATTGCGGAGTTTTTGGAAGATTTTGATGACAGCTCAACCCAGCGGACTGTTGATGACGACAATCACTCAAGTTTATAAGGCGCCCAAGCGACCAATATTTCTTCGAAAAAGTGGTCGGAATTCCTTATGTTTTTAGGTTAAAAAAAAGGAAAATTTGAAATCACACAAAATTCACAGCTTATTCAGACCAGCCGTCAATATTTATTTGTGGGCAACATTTTAAAATTCCACGAATTGTGGATGCCTTTGAGTATTACAAATATAGTACTGTACAATGTTATATAAAATTCATCAAAAAAATCTGTAAACACATAGATACATATATTATTTACATAACAATAAATATAATTACAAATAATATTATAAAATTACATATATAATATAAATATTATATTTGTGGTTATATTTAAATTAACGAATTATTAACTTAATTAAAAAAAAATAAAGAGTATGTTACATTAGTACGACAGAAAAATAGGGATAGATAAGAGAAAGAGGTAGTTTGTTAAGAAACCCAGAGGCTAAATTACAGCTCTGTACAAGTTCAATAAGTGGAAAATATCAAATAATATACTATCGTTTTCACAAACTACAGTTTATTTTAATTCATATATTCCAAAAAGTAATAAATATTGTATAATATATACTATATTCATCTTTATCAGCCTTTTTTAATCCACCGCTTGAAAGTATTTAAGCCTTTTCAAGAATGCACCGAGTGGCATGTATAACTTGAAAGGTTACCCACACTCATTACAGTGTGCAGACGTCTTATTGACAATTAAGGTAAAATTAGTTTATCCTAAGTCCGGCAGTAGGTTGAGGTGCGGCTGTTTGCCCTTGATCCAACCAAAACTTAGTTGATCATGTCGGAACATATCGTCCAAAAAACTTTGAACGATAACAAAGTGCTTTTGGTTGGTTTCATCAATCAATTTTATTAACAATTTACAATTCAATTTTGACTGGTTAACAGTTCTGATAGTTATATATAGATAATTTACTTTTTAGATTTTTTATCCATTGAGATAGGCTGTTAATATAATATTTAACAGGCTTTTTCAAAATTGCTTAAAATATTTAACTAAACGAACAGTTATTGTATTTTAAGGCCTTAAATTAGGAACAATGTTTCTTAAGCTTTTTTATAAAATAAAGATGTCAAACGAGCACATAGTCCGCCTGACGGTAAATATATGCTGTTGTCCATAGACATCTATATTCATCCTCGGTTAAGAATCAAAATGCAGATGTGTTGTCATCCTTGAAGACTAAGGTAGGTAAGGTTTTTTTGGATAGGGTGACAAACGAGCACACAGTCCACCTGATGGTAAGTGGTTGCTGTGGCCCATATACATCTACATCAATCCTCGACTACGAATCAAAATGCAGATGCGTTGTCACCCGTGAGGACTAAGATGGAATGCCTCGTTTTCAGTAAAAACGGTCTCCGGTTCTCTACACTCGCTAAACGAAATACAGCAGCATTAAGATGGTATTTTACGCTGGTATTCTGGAAGAGCGTGGTCCTTCCCCGGTCGAGCTAAACCATTCGTGCTACAACCATAATATAACTGCAGAGTGATTTTACCTAAAAACTAAAAATAAATCTGCTAAGTTACCCATTTGTTAGTTTTATTGACGAATTTTAATAATTCTGATCTTAGATGTTTAATTCCAGCGTCTAACATGTTATTTAATGTAAGTTAGATTAATAACTAAGAGGTGATGTCTAAACAAACAATACCCTTCTAAGCCAAATCTCACTAAGATGATTAATATTGTGAATATTTGTGTTTTTTTAGTATTCCGAAACATAGAAAATAGTTTAATGGCGTAATATGAAAATTTACAATCTGCTGTTAAAAATCATTTAACCTGTTTTGTGACCTCCTGCAGTGTTGTTTCGGAAGTCGGAGTAGTTGTGGGCGTGGTACTAGGCGTGGTCGACGGTGTGGTGACTGTAGATGACGCTGTCGGCGACGTTGCGATTGTTGTTGGCACTGTCGTCGTCGTTGTGCTCGTCGTAGTAGTGGATGTCGTCGTTGACTCCGTCGTGGAAGAAGTCGTCGGTGTCGTTGCCTCTGTCTGAATAGTTTCGAAGGAGGACGGCGACGGTGACGTTGACGGTGAGGTTGGCACTTCGGACGACATCGAAGGGACTTCGTTGGAAGCCCGTATTATTACAGTTTGCTGAAAGTGCCATGCGGACGCTCACACAACGTGATGTGAAAGATGTTATGTTAAGACAACTGTGTGAAATGACTTTCGATACATTTGATTTCAAATACCTATAAAAGTCTTTGTAGTGGCGGTTTAAGCTGATGTGATTAAATGAGAAAAATAATATTTTATTTTTATGCTTTGGTTAAGTATCAATTACCGCGCATTTATTGTCTGGATCTAATTGAAACTAAGCAACACTTAGTTTCTCTTTAATACATTGGGAATAAGATCAAAAAAGGAAACTGATTGTTTTGATGTATTTTCCTGTACATATTTATATTTTAAGATACAAATAAATAGTTTCAATTTTAAATTTTATTTATTTGTAAACTCAAGTAATGATAAACAATAGACCTTTAAAATAATGATGTTCCCTGCATTCAACCCTTACAAATATCATAAAACTAAAACTAAATTTACATTAATGCAATAATTTGTAATTAAATTATTTCTATCATTATTATATTTGAATTATTCAATAAAATTGTATCATTTAATTTACAATTATGTAAATAAATTATGAACCAATCAGTTATAGTATAATTTACAATTTTTATTGTCGATGTACATATTTTATGTTATTATGTATACCGAGGCGTCATTGAAATATTCATAAAAAATAGTTAGTTTTTTCTTATTGATCTCCTACTTAGTTATGTTAAGTAACTTTATTCCATTCAGAAATTCTTATATTATAAAAAGGCAGATTTATCAAATGTATTAAAATCAGTTGTCTTAACGTTGACATCATAAGTTAGATAATGTATTTACAAAATTACAATGCGTGACATTAGATAGTCCAGCTAACGCTACCCCGTAAGTAAGTCCAATTCCACACAAGACAGAGAGATTAGTGTTGATAACACATTTACAAACGTGAAATAAGTGTTGGTGATAAAATTGTTCGGATCAAACATACCATCTCAGTTTCGGTTGTAGTTGCGATGTCTTCAGGTGAAATGATGACTGGGGAATGGCCCAGTTTTCGTGATTCCACGACGCCTGACTCTAAGCCATGATTTACATCGCTAGCTTCCGATACTGATTCAGTGTACGGCGTTATCTTCACTTTATTCATTACCTGTTGAGATTTGTCAGTTATAAATCTTATGTAGAAAATTAAAATAAATTAAAATTCTATTTTACATGCTTTATGAGTAGTAATACAATTTAACATGTACATTTACATTTCTATTTACTTATTACACACAATTCGATGTTATTTATATTTCACTAACAAATAGAAGGCCTTAATTTTCGTCACTAATTTAAAATATTACTAAGCTCTCATGCTTTAATATATTAAATACCAATAACATAAACATACGATAAAAAATATAACAAAATCAAATTTAGGTTACGTCTAGTTATTACTACACAACATATCATTGATAAATTATAAATAATAAAATTATCAGCGATTAATTTTAAAAGTAATTAGTTTTTTATAAATAGATTAATTTCTTTATATTACCTTTACCTTGTATTATAATATTGAGTATTGATTATTATGTAGTACAACGAAGTATAATAGAATACATAATATATTATGTACTTTGTTTACTAAATACTACATTTAAATATACAAATAAAAGATTAAGTAAGAACAATAAACGATATTACAACCATGCAACAAACAACACTAAGCACGAGATCGGGTTACGACAAACCTCCGTTGTGTACGAATTAGTAGAGGCGAGCTCGGGTGTAGTTTCTTCGGTGGGCGTTGTGTATTCTTCAGAGGTGGTGGGGGCCGGGGGACTTTGAGTCGGGTGGGGGGTGAGTTGAGGTAGCGGAAGTAGAGGGACACGGATCGGTGGTTGCAGGGAAGAGGTTTCCGGCGTGTTTTCGGTGACGGGCTCGGTCTGAAAGTTGTCGGTGGTGGTGTGTGGCGCGCGCATGGCGTCGCCGTGGTGGTGGCGGTGGGGGCGCGGGGGGGTGGGGGGCGCCTGGGGGCACGCGCCGTGACACACTGCGTTAGTATTGCCGCCCACGTGAACGTACCTCGCGCTATGTCTGTGGTTATTGCAGCGCGGACCGCATAATGGACGTGCCTTTGCATCTACGTATGTCATGACGAAAGTTTATAAAGAGGGTAGTTATATGTGAATGTAAAAAATATCTGTTTTGTAGTTTATTTGTCTGTATAGAACTAAAAGGGACTCTCAAAGTTAAAAGGCACGTCCCTTTATCAAAATCCACGTGTACAAAATGAACCCAATTTCCACATCACCCACATCAGGAGTGCATCAGTTAGTTTATTATATATACAATGGTGCGAGTGAAGCGACCACCCAATTAAGCAATTTCGTTAAATAACCACACACAAAGCCTACATTAAAAAAGTTATTTAGAATTAGAAATCAAATAAAATTCCACATTAGATTATTATTGAAGAATGAGATGATTACATGTAAATGGAATCGATTAAAAAAAGATTGCAAAGGTAAATTCAGTTGGCCGACATGTTTGTATGGATAATGTATGGGAAAATATGTTATTACTATATTGGAAGTTGGCACTAGACGTTGAAAACCACAAAACGACCAGAAAACCCGCACACTAAATTAAGTAGTGACTGAAAATGAATCATTCAACATTCCATGCTGTGGTCCCGATTATGGATGCTGGTCTACATGACGATACAGTTGAGTGCAGGAAACGCATTCCATGTCATAACTTCTAATAATTATTATTATTTATTGGAAACAATTATTATTTTAATGAATTTTGTTGGTCAAATTTTAAATCATGACAATATTATTAATATAAATCACTGACCTCCATATATACTAATACACCGGAGAGACTATAACCTACAAAACGTTTGTGCCGTTTTGAAGCGCCGCCATTAAGTGTACCTAAATTTGCAAATGACCGTTATTTTGCTTAAAACGTCTAAGAGTATTTAAGTGTTTTAAAAGAGAAAAAAAGAGTGTGTTGTGCAGTTCGGTTATGTTTCATGTTCCTAATGTAATAAAAAGTATTTTTAGTAACAATGTAAAATTTGTCACCAGAAGGGATGTGTGTTAACATTCCACAAGTAAGAGGATTCACAGTTATCTTAAAAAATGAAAACTTTTTCATAATATAGACTCTTCAGAACCTGTCATTTATTAAATGTAGTTACTAACATTTTTGGCTTTAAACTATTTATGTTTGATAAAGAATTAAATTCAGTAGGGCTGAAGAGTTCCTTGTTGGTAATACTTATCGATGTTTTTTTTTTATATTAGGCTGCACTAAACGTCTCGGGAATGGAATATTGCTACTGCTCCTGTCATATTAAAATCTTTTTAATTGAAAACTCCTTGGTTTTAAAAATCGAATACCACTTTATTTATTTAAAAAAAATTCTCGGTCTTGTCAAACTTGTTTAGTCGTTGAGAAAATGGAATTGACTCGAGAAAATTCAAGAGCGATGATTTATCATGACTTTCGAAGTGGTTTAACACAAAAACAGTGTGTTGACCAGATGATTTCTGCATTTGGCGACGAAGCCCCATCCAAAACCACAATTTATCGCTGGTTTGCTGAATTTCAACATGGACGTGTCAAGCTCAGTGATGATCCCCGTCAAGGTCGTCCAAAAACTGCAGTCACCCAAGAAAACGTTGATGCTGTGCGTAAGCTGATTGAGGAAGATCGACATGTGACATACCGCGAAATTCAGGCAACTTTAGAAATTGGCATGAGTCAAATACAAATAATCTTGATGAACAATTAGGTGTAAAAAAGTTGTTTTCCCGATGGATACCGCATTCGCTCTGTGAAGAGCAAAAAACGGCTCGCGTTACTTGGTGCGTCAGAAGATTCCACGCAGATCCTCAATGCTGTATACAACATCGTATCAGGTGACGAATCCTGGATATATGCGTACGAACCCGAAACAAAAAACCAGTCACGAGTTTGGGTGTTCGAAAATGAGTTAAAGCCAACAAAAATTGTTCGTTCACGAGTGTTGCAAAAAAAATGGTGGCCACGTTTGTCTCAAAACCGGCCATGTTACGACTATTCCTCTTGAGGGACAAAGAACGGTTAATGCAGAATGGTATGCTAGCATTTGTTTGCCACAGGTCGTTTCTGAACTCCGTAAAGAGAACTGCAACCGCCGCATCATCCTTCCATCACGACAATGCGAGTTCTCACACCGCACACAGAACAAAAGAGTTTTTAGAGCAAGACAACATAGAATTATTAGACCATCCGCCGTACAGCCCCGACCTAAGCCCTAATGATTTCTATACTTTCCCTAAAATAAAGAATAAATTGCGTGGACAGAGATTTTCATCACCTGAAGAAGCTGTGGACGGCTACAAAACGGCCATTTTTGAGACCCCAAGTTCCGAATGGAATGGTTGCTTCAATGATTGGTTCCATCGTATGGAAAAATGTGTCAAATTTCGCGGAGAATACTTCAAAAAGCAATAAATACATTTTTAAATAGTAATGTTGTGTCACTTCCTTGATTCCCGAAATTTTCAGTGCCGCCCAAGTACCTATATCTGTGTACAACCATGAAAGTCCATTTTCGACCAATTTCTATACTTCCCTTTCTTTCAAAGACTTTAGAATCAGCTGCATACAAACAGTTATCCAGCTACATTTATAAAAATAATCTTCTTAGTCCCTTGCAATCAGGTTTTCGTCCTGGGCATAGTACAACCACTGCTCTCCTTAAAGTTCTTGATGACGTACGAGAGGGTATGGAGGAATCAAAATTAACGGTTCTTGTATTAATTGACTTCTCCAATGCTTTCTGTACAGTTGATCATGACATTCTTCTTGCTATCTGTAAATACATGGGTTTCTCTTCGTCAGTTTTGGATTGGTTATCAACTTATCTTCGTGGTCGCCAGCAAAGAGTTAAAGTCAACCAACAGTCTTTCTCTGATTGGTCTGATCTTACTACTGGCGTTCCACAAGGCGGAATTCTTTCTCCTTTATTATTTTCTATTTTTATAAATCTCATAACTGTAAATTTCAAATGCTCCTACCATCTGTATGCTGACGATTTACAGCTGTACGCTCGGATTGATCCAGCAGAGGTTAACTCCGCGATCGAAATTTTAAATCTAGATCTTGAGGCCATCTGTGACTGGTGCAGAAATTATGGAATTGCTGTCAATCCTGTTAAATGTCAAGCGATAATTCTCGGTAGTCCTCGCCGTATAGCTAAATTAGATTTTAATTCACTGGAGCCTATCGTTTACAATAGCACAATTATTCCTCTTAGTCAAGTAGTTAAAGACCTTGGGTTAATGATTGATGCTAATTTAAGTTGGCGTTCTCAGGTGGCTGAAATAAGCCGGAGAGTGACAATCACCCTGCGTGGCCTTTATCGTTTCAAGAATTTCCTTCCAACCGAGACTAAGGCTATGTTGGTGCGAGTGCTTGTTTTACCACTCATTGATTATGCTGATGTGTGTTACTCTGATGTGAGTCAACTACTTCTGTGCAAATTGGATCGTTTATTAAATAATTGCATCCGTTTTATTTTTTGGCCTTCGTAAATACGATCATGTATCCATATATCGTTCTAAGCTTAAATGGCTCCCTATCCATCAGCGTAGATGTATCAAAATTCTTCGCACGCTTTTTTCAATCCTATATGATCCATGCACTCCCCCAATACCTGAAATGCAAGTTTCAGTATTTGGGTTCTTCTCACGATCGTAACCTGCGATCCTCCGAGGGAACTACATTATGTGTTTTTCCTCGCCGTACCAAATTTATGTCTCAGTCTTTCGCCGCTGAGGCCATAAGGCTATGGAATAAATTACCCCCTCATATCAGAAAACCGACTTCTGCTGCCACATTTAAGAGGATGGTGACTGATCACTACCTTTCTTCTTCCAGCAAGTAACTTTCATATTTGTTTCTGCTTATATGTGACTTGACATCTTAAATTATTTAATTTGTTTTAGTTATGTTCGTATGTAAGTATACTTAAAATGTATGTATTATGTACTATTTAAACATTATGTATGAAATGTATCATATATTACTTAGGTTAATTGTAGTTGTGTATATTTATTTTTGTATTTACCCTTATGGTATGTCTATTTATATATTTACATTTACGTATAAATTATCCACATATTTTATGGCACCTGCTAAAGTTCTCTGCTTAGCCCATGGTTGACTGGTAGAGAATGCCTAAAGGCATTAAGTCCGCCAATTGTACATTTTAAGTGCAATAAAGTTTTTTTTAAATTAAAATTAAATTAAAAAGTCCCTAAAACGATATAATTATCAAATATTTATTAATTTACAGGTTTTGAACTGACTATACTAAAACTGTGACTAAATAGCACAAAACATGGGAATTGGCATCCGAAGCAAATTGCTTATGACGTCAATGATTTGTGGTATGTGATTGTGGATTCTTTAATTTAATTTAAAGTTTGTAAAATTTTAATTGTATCTATAGATATTATTGAAATAGGAGGCATAATATTTTGGCAGCTTATTAACTTTCTCTTTTACAAGAACTGAATGAATGGTTAACAATAAATTCATTACATTTTTTTATTTTATAGTTACTACTCTAGGTTTTCCTCCTCACTGGACTTTTTTAAACCTCTCGAATGAATCATAAATACCCATGGTGAAACCCGGAATGAAAAGGAATAAAAACGTAGATAGACTAACGCAATATCGATTTTTGTTTTTTATGAGGTTACGAAGGATACAGAGCTTGTGTCTAAGACATAAGTATTATCAACTAATACTTATTATACATTTATTTATTGTATGGCGTTATAATAAAATAATACGTAAATAGAATAGACGTTACAGGCAGGCCTGGGTATAGAATTTTTATCGATATATTTTGTCACACTATCCTGTCTCTCTTACTATTCCGTAGACGCTCATTTCTACTATCAGCGCCAAAATGGCGAAAAAAGTCGCCTCATTATGTCACGATGTATAGCCAGTCCAGCGTAGTTGTATATTAGTGGTCAGTGATATAATTGCATCAGAGCATCAGAGTTAATGCCATTTCAGTATTCAAAAAAATATGAATGAGGGTATCATGAATTAAAAAATAATCATATTTTCTACATATCTGGAAATCTGATACGTAGAAAATGGCAATTCTCTTAAAGTAATAAAAACAAGCCATGTGTTGTACTTCGGGTAGTATACATACAAAAACATGAAAATTGATGGTTAGTTGAAGTATGAGAGAATCCAATGAAAAAATGAAATGATGAAATGAATAAGTACTTTAACGGAAAAGACAGCGGATAGTGTTGAAAAGTGAATTTGAAACTTATATCATAACGGCAGTAATATGTTATATTTTCATTGTATTCATAAATATTTTTTGTTTCTAATTTATCTTTATTAAAGAAGTCTATGTACAATAATATCCAAATTTAAAACCAGTTTTCAACTTTTAAAGTAACAAACGTAGCTAGATTTGTATATGCGTAAACATGTGGTTTATTTTAGTGTTAAAATATGGAAACACTAGTATGTAAATTGTTGGATGTAAATTAGTGATTTGGAATTTTAACACCACACATTTTATTGTAATTTATGATTTAAATTGCAATCATGAAAATTACGAACGCTGTTCTCAATGAGTTAATACAATTTTGAGAATTATTAATTTGAATCTTTTCTGTTATTTCCTGTTTACATAAAAACAAAAATGAAGAAACACAATACGCTCTATTTCACAAAAGTGGTGATGGCAACTCACTGAGTCTGGCAATGAGTCGATATTGAAGTCATCTTCGTTATCATCTTCGTCGTCATAGTCGCCGCTGTAGTCGGCCACGTCATCCTCGCCGTCGTAATTGTCGTATGCCCCCGAGCCCGAGTCCAGTGAAGACTGTAAGAACCGATGGAAATCATTTTACGCAATTGCACATACAATAGAATAACAGTATCGATTTGTAAATAATAATAATAATGTCCTCCAGACCGAATTTCGGCCACGGCGACCTGCCTCGACGGAGGCTAGCCATCGGCGCAGGACAGGATTATAGTGCCCAAGTGTATGCGCAAGCACAGATGCACTCTCTATTCCCTCACTCTCATAGTCCGCTGGGGAGGTAAACCGACACGACCGGAGAGAGATCAGGCGCAGAACCAACGGCTTTACGTGCTTTCCGAGGCACGGGGCGGGGATGAGAGACCGCCAACTTCCTGACTCCGAGCAACTACTGAGAATTTCTTGACGGAAAAAATCAACTTCCCGGGATTCGAATCCAGGGCCTCATGATCAGTAATCGCACTACTACAACCACTTGACCAACGAGGCAGTCATTGAGTTGAAAATATTCGTTGAGATAGTTGAAATCGTCGTTGAGTTGTAAATATTGACAAACATACTAATTACATTCCGTCTTATAGTAAGTGGATGGTTGCTGACAACTATACTTTCTAAAATCATTTTAGGTACTTATAATAATAACAACGTCAAGTTATAACGCCATAAGGAGACAAATACTTTAATTAAAAAATTAAAAAAAAAAAAACGAAGGCTAACTACTTCGTTGGGACTGGTGGCCGTAATAGAAATTCGGTCTGAAGAACATTAATATAATTTTATATAGGTATGTGAAGGAAAAATACGTAAAAAAGAAACGGGCAAATATAAAGTTTGAAACTATAAGAAAAAATAATAAATGAATTTTAGTTTAATACCCTACATATCAAATACAAGGCATTAGAAGATAGTTTTACCTAGACGAAATATGAGTTAGGCAGTCATAAATTATCAACTTGTACACCTTGCCCTTCCTCCACTACTTACTTGGTTACCACCACACACGTTAAGATATACTTGCTCACGTTTAGACTTGTATAAGTGTATTTCACTATAAAAGTGACCATGGACGGTTCAAGTATGCTTGAACGAAATAACGAAGGATGCTGTGAAAGTGATCGACCGAGTGTTATGTAACAACAACATTGTAATGGTTGGCTAAATATTTGCTACAAAAACATTAAAAGATGTAGGAATAACCGAACTACATGGTATTAAGAATTGTTAATGAAAAGAGAGTATTATTCGCACATTTTAAACGAATTGAAATTTAATCCAAAGGCTGAAAAAACTACCTACGTATGAACAAAAAACTTATTTGAAGCTATTGTCTGTGGTTTCATAATTTGTTGAAGATATTATTATGCGACAAGCCATCACCACGCGAAAGATTAAAAGCAACCTTAAGGTTTTTTACAACTGGAAGATTTTGAAGTTTCATCAATAAGGCTAGGATGTTATTATATCCGAAATATGCGTCGTGATAGCTAGGCTGATACACTCGTACTGATACGTGACTATTATATATTTGAAACTTTGAATGCGGCAGCTCAATATGTTTAACTAAATTTGGGCAAATGTAGTTTCATAATTCAAAATAGTTAGTTGAATACTTTTTAAGAGTTGTCAAAATAAACATTTCTATAGAAATTGTATGAGATGAAAGTGTAATATGGTTTAAGTTGGTATAGTCATACTATCATTTTATTAAAATTCAAAATCGCACAAGTTTTAAGACACTACTAAAAGTATTACGTAGTAACTTATTAGTGACATGACCAAATACGCAATTGAAACGATTTAAAAAAACAAGAACAAGTTCACAATTTCTTGTACGAGTCCAAACTTGGGCAGTTTATTAGTGTATTGTGCAATTAGGTGCGATAGAAGCTTGGTAAAATTATGAAGATGGTGTGGGTCACCTGTCTCTTGTGGCGTGGCAGGGGGCGGGGCGCGGGGCGCGGGCGAGGGCGTGCGCGGCGCGCGGCCAGCAGGCGCCAGCCCAGCACGGGCAGGCGCAGCAGGTGCGCCAGCGTGCCGTCGCGCGCCTGCTCGCGCAGTCCTGCCACCAGCACCTTGTGCCGCGCCCACAGCTTGTCCCCGCAGCCCACCTGCACAACACGCATTCACTCCGTCTACATTATACCTAATTAACTAACACGTACGTAATTAATTAACACGAAAACACATACAGAATTTCTGTTGTATCCGTTTGTCAAGGGCGATTTCCCTTTAACAACGGAGCAGAACGGTTGGCGAGTGTGGCACATACCGGTACCGATTGAAATGTGTAACAGTTATACATTACAACAACTATTCTAAAGAGCACACATGTCGCACGCGTAACCGCATGCATCGCTCTTGAAACTGTTAATATCAGGCTTAGAGTATACATAACCAAGCTATAGAGCGCGCATTAGCGAATATTTTTTTTTTTTTTTTTTTTTTTTTTAATATGAACAGTAAGCACGGCGCTACATACTACAAAAACTTTTGTAAGTTTATTTGTATTGTCGGATGTTATTTAATAACTATACTTTGTAAAAATAAATAAAATAAAAATAAATAAAATAAAAATAAATAAAATGAACAGTACCAAAATTTCTAATGAACAGCCTCGATATGTCATAAAAGAACACGAGTGCTTAAAGTTTTTCTCGGCTGTATTTATTAAAATTTAAATTACCATGGTAAAATGTGTAGTAACAAGTTGTAAACAAGATTCACGAAAGCAATCTTATAAGAATAATGATATTTCTTTTCATCGGTATTTTTTTTAACAGAAGGGGCAAACGAGCATGCGGCTCACCTAATGCAAAGTGACTACTATCGCCCATGTACAACTTCAATACCAGAGGATTGCTGGTGCGTTAATAAATAAAGCAAATAAGCTCTTTTTTTAATGTTCCTAAATCGTATCAGTCCAGAAGTAAACGATTCCACAGAAGGGTCGTACGAGGAAGAAAACTCCTAGTAAAACGTACAGTGTTGGACCGCCAAGCATCCAGATGGTGTGGATGATATCGTGAGTTTTATCACGATGTGCGTTCGTGAAATTTGTCGGCTGGAATTGATCCGAACAATTCCTCAGAACATAAAATTCAAAGATATGCAACATCTCTTTCCGAGCCAATCGGAGAGGACTCGGTCGTCGATGAGTAATATTTTGATAAAAAACACTGATTTTAACAAAATTGATCAGGGTGTAAAGCGTGTTGCGAGTGAAGCGCGGCCGGGTCGAAACAGCACGTGCTTCCCCACACCCTACGCTTTGGGATTTCCTCTAATTAAATACCACGTCATTTCCGTATATTTTGTAATAACATGATTTCTTTCGTATTAATAATATAATCATAGTATAAAAAAATATGATCTTTTTTATTGCAAACCCATATAGTACATGTTTAATATAAAAAATTTAATAGGTTTATAAAGTACATAATAAAGTAAATACGGTTAAAATACGTTTCTAATTTCAAATTTCCGAAAAGCAATTAATTGGCAAATAAATGGGCCCAACATCAGGAGTTTCGTTTGTTCCATCGATTTTAGTGCTTCATCCATTTTTGAAACCAAAGGTGGACTGCGCAGGACCAGAGCATAAATTTGAAGTAAGATTAGATTAGATTCCGTGTGTATGTATGTTCACAATTTTTCTAAACTAATGGATGTCATTCAAAAATATTGACATTAGCTTGGAATATCTTGTACTACCCGTGCGGTTAAAGAATGGGATTGAAAATGGCGTCGCCCCTATTCATCTCTCGCTCGCACACTATCTATACTCACACCCGCCGGTAAAGATTACAAAAAATACGTTGCGATATGCGTTTTTCGTACGTTCTATAATTTCACTCCGCCTTGTCACTGAAATTCATTCCGGTTTTGCTAAATTGTAAGCTACAAGTTTTGAGAGATTTCTTCATAATTATTGCTGATTTTGTTTGTAAATATTTTTGTATAAAATATTTATGCCATTGAGACATGAGTAACCATTTTTTTTTAATTTTCGTTTGTCTGTGTGTCCGAGCTAATCTTCGGAATGGCTGAACCGATAGTACCAAAACATCACGAACACTTGGTAGATATACAATTCTTTTCAAATATTTTTCCTTTAATAAACAATTTCCAATTAAACGAATAATAGGACGTTATAACGATATAGCGTTTTAGCAGGTTTTCGCTATTGTTATTGTGCACGTTGACGGTACGGGTGCGATCAGCAGTCACGGCAGAGTGTCAGTGGTAGAGCCACGCGGCAGCTTTGCTGTTGCACGTATGGGCCGGCTCAAACCGGGATGGTACCACGACCTCACAGAATACCGGCGTGAAGTGGAAGCTCTGCTTCCGCGTTTACCTCTGGTGAGTGCAGGTGGCCGGAGGCCCAAATCCCCCCCCCCCATGGTAGCGGAATTAAATGCTGATAGACTACCCCAGGAGGGTACCAGCACCCCCGGAGAATCCCTCGCTGAGCATCCACGACCATGTTTCTCCACTTCTGAGCGTGGGTGCTCAGGCTGCCCCGCGTATTCGGGGGGGGGGGGGGGGCAAAATTCCGCAATTAAGACTTACAACTGCTCGGGGCAAACGGAGCAACAAGACCAAGGCGACCCCTGCCACGCTGTCCGTGAATTTCTGCAATAACAGGGGACTTCAATCTAACCTAAACGCCGCCTACTACCATGTCGAGACGGCGAGGCCGGCTCTGCTCTTTCTGACCGAGACGTATGTGTTCTACGACTGATGTCTCGTATCTCTCCTACCCGAGGTACAAACTGGAACACTCCTTTGTGCCTCGGGCTGGAGTTTGCGTTTACGTCAGAGAGGACATCTGTTGCTTCAGCCTGCCGCCGACGGCAGGCTTGAAGTTTCGGACCTGTCCATCCTTTGGTTACGCGTTGACAGCGACGACCATCCGCGCGTCTACGGGTGCCTCTATAGGTCCCATAGCGGTAATGCCGAAACAGACCGACTCTTCGACCACTTCCAAATGGCTACAGATTCGTTGCTACAGCAGATCCCCTCCGCAGAGATCGTGATCCTCGGCGACTTTAACGCCCATCACGCCGAATGGCTTGGTTCACGTTTATCCGATCATGCGGGGAGATCTGTTCATGATTTTGCCTTGGCATATGGTCTGACACAACTGGTTACTTCGCCTACGCGGATTCCAGATGTGGAGGATCATGCACCTTCCCTGTTGGACCTTCTGCTGACCTCTCACCCGGACGGATATCAGATTTCCGTCGACGCCCCTTTAGGCTCCTCGGACCATTGTTTTGTCCGGAGTGAGGTGCCACTCACGCTGAAATCGCAGTTGCATTCTGCAGGCTGCCGCCGTGTTTGGCACTGTAGGTCAGCCGATTGGGATGGGATGCGGTCTTTCTATGCATCCTACCCTTGGGGGGCGGGTTTGCTTCTCGACGGACGATCCCAACGTTGTTGCGTATTCTGCCGCTGATGTGGTACTTCAGGGTATGGAACTTTTTATTCCTTCCTCTGTGGTGCCCATTGGAGGCAAATCACAGCCGTGGTTTGGTCGCTCCTGTAAAATAGCATCATGCTATAAGCAAGAGTGCCACCAAGCCTGGGCTGACGCATCAACGTCCCGGGATGTAAACACCAGCGCTCTAAAAAAAGAAGTATAATTCCACCTCTAGGTCCTTCAAAAGAGTCACTGCCAAGGCAAAGTCAGAGCACATAGGCAGAATTGGCGAGAAACTAGTTCGCCTTCCTTCTGGAACCCGTGCATTCTGGTCTCTCACCAAAGCTTTCCAGGGGAATTTCTGTCAGTCATCTCTTCCATCTCTGCACAGGGAGGACGACTCACTGGCCCATACCGCAAAGAGAAAGCCGATCTGCTAGGCTCGTTCTTTGCGTCCAACTCGACTCTCGATGATCGGGGGGTGTACGCCGCCGACCATCCCGCGGTGTGAGTGCTCCATGCCAGAAGTGCAGTTCACACAGCGCTCGGTTCGCAAAGCACTCCTCTCCCTGGACATCCACAAGTCGAGTGGGCCTGACGGAATCCCCCCAGAATTGTGCTGAGGACGTGTGCTCCAGAGTTGGTACCGGTTTTAACACATCTTTTCCGGTATAAATCACCAGCTGATTAATGATCGCCAATACGGCTTTCGCCGTGGTCGATCAGCTGATGATCTTCTGGTCTACCTAACTCATAGATGGGCGGAGGCAGTAGAGTCCAAGGGGGAGGCATTGGCCGTTAGTTTGGACATTGCGAAGGCCTTCGATCGGGTTTGGCACAAAGCACTTCTTTCGAAGATCCCTTCCTATGGGCTTCCCGAGAAATTGTGCGATTGGATCACCAGCTTTCTTGCAGATCGGAGCATCAAGGTTATAGTAAACGGAGTACGCTCTGATCACAAGCCTATTAATGCTGGTGTTACAAGGCTGCGTGCTATCATCGACGCTGTTTCTTCTGCATATCAATGATATGTTGCAAACCCGTAACATTCATTGCTATGCAGATGACAGCACTCACTGGTGATGCTCTTTACACCAGCCGAGACAATATTTCTCGGGAAAACGTCTCCGAGTACCGGGACAAACTTGTGTCTCAAGTCGAGTCTTTGCTGAACAGAGTCTCGGATTGGGGGCGACTAAATCTAGTCCAGTTTAACCCCCAGAACACAGGTTTGCGCGTTAACCGCTAAAAAAGAACCCCTTTGTCGTATCTCCTCAGTTTCAAGGCACTCCCCTTGTTGCCTCAGCCAGTATCGGAATCCTCGGCGTTGACATATCGAGTGACGTGCAGTTTCGTGGTCACTTGGAAGCGAAGGCCAAATTGGCCTCTAAAAAGCTTGGCGTGCTCAGCAGAGCGGGACAGTATTTCATGCCGGCACACCGCCTGCAACTTTACAAGGCGCAGGTTCGGCCGCACATGAAATACTGTTCCCATCGCTGGTCTGGGGCTCCCCAGTACCAGCTCCTTCCACTTGACCGCATCCAGCGCAGAGCGGCTCGAATCGTCGACGACCGAGTGCTTTTCGATCGGCTCGATTCACTGGCGCTGCGAAGAGATGTTGCATCTCTTTGCATTTTCTTTCGCATATACCGTGGAGAGTGCTCTGAGGAATTGTTCGGATTAATCCCAGCCGAGAAAATTTCGTGAACGCACTATGCGGCAAACGCCCCGGTACCATCCACACCATCTGGATGCTTGGTGGACCACCACTGTACGTTTGAAAAGAAGTTTTCTTCCGCGTGCAACCTCTCTGTGGAATAGTTTACCACCGGCGATTTTTCCGGACCGATACGACCCTGGGGACCTTCAAGAAAAGAGCTTACTCCTTTCTAAAGGGCCGGCAACGCACCTGCAAATTCCTCTGGTGTTGCGGTTGATCATGGGCGGCGGTAGTCACTTAACATCAGGTGAGCCGCATGCTCGTTTGCCCCCTCTTCTATAAAAAAAATTTAATCCCATTCTTTATCCGTACACAGACTGTACATAATACTACGATCAAGCAATGAAAACGACACTTACATAATAAGTTAAGCCTTTTATAAGGCAGTAATAAACATTGTTTTATAAATTCGTACCAATGTTTTATTGATCTGCTAAAACCTACCTTATATTATACCATTATTATACCATTAGTATCAGAATCTATAGAACACCTGCTGACGCCTGGAATTATTGGCAACGAGCGATTCGCGCGCTTTATATCTTGCTTATGAAATATCTGGAGAAATTATTTAAAACTTATAACACAAATTTGAATTTGGATTCTGGGGTTTAATTTCAGAGGATGATTTTAAGATATGGATAAAAAAATGTTCAATAGCGTCGTGTAAGGTGTAAAATAAAGATCACTGAAGTGAAAAATTCAATAATATGCCTAAAGTTTAAATAAAAATAAATAAATTGCGTGTCAGTTTCGACGCGTGACCGGAGTTAACTCCTGAAAAACGTCAACGTCAAGAGGCAAAAGAAGCAAATGAACCCATATATTGATTTGATAAAATATATTTCATGAATTATATTATATAACATAAAATTTATGATTTTTATTGTATTATTCGTTTCGCGCTATGAGATGCGCGAGATTGTCGCGCAGAGGAAAACCATAGCGGCTTCACTTTTTGTTAACATTTGATTTTACTGCCCATGTTTCATATATGGTATAAAATTGAGAAGATAAATCAAACAAATATTATTACGATTGAAATATTCGTGCGAGCTGGTAAGGTACAAGCAAATTATCTTAACTCACGTTCAGATAAATGGCAGTGGTGGCATCGTTGCTTCTATGATGTGTGGTACCCGCACCACTCATTAGTACTATCTGTGAGTGCGTTGATTCTGCCTTGTACGGCGCCATCCAAAATTCGTCCTGAAATAAAAGTATGAAAATGGATAAAATTTAGAACGTACCTCTCTAACAAAGTTAATAATAAAATTTTAATAGAAAATACATTTTAACTAATCATCTATTTCTCAAACTTATAGGTAGGACTTAGAAATAAAAGCATTTAATTTCTGAACAGCATGAATTTTAATAACAATCAGAGTCCTGAGTGTGCAAAACACAAATTAATCGAAGTACATACAATCGAAGTCTTGGACATATTATTGTTTTAAATCCATATCACTGACACCACAGGGTAAACATAGTGATTATATACTCTTTGCCATAGATTACTAATAAAAATACTTAGAGTGCAAAGTCCAACTGGTATTCAAGTAGTAATACAATAGCCTGCAGTCAATTCAAAATAAAATGGCTGGAGGTGCATTGTTTTCATTGAGACATACTAATATGGAATAGTTCATAGCCTGTAATTACCGATAATCGACACTGGTGTCAGTGACAATGAGCTACTTACAGATTACATGGCCAAACCGCTGTCGAGATAATATGAACATATCTGCTGTCTAGTGTCATCGTAATATAATGTGCTATATTTTATTATGTTTTTAAAAGGTTATTTACAGATTTTTATTACTAATTTCGGTCAGATTTTTAATATTCGGTTTGCTTTATCGTTCGTCAAGCGTACAGTAAGAGAGTGGAATAAGTTGCCAGCAGCTGTCTTTACATCCGATTACAAAGTAAGTCAGTGTGTTTTACCATCTTCAGCTACGCCAACACTTACCATCGGGTGGGATTGTAGTCGAGCACTGACTTAGAAAGTAAAAAATAATAGGTATTTTATTCAAAATTACTGAAGATGAATTTATAAAGGAATAAAAGTTGTTTTACAAATTACAGTCAAATAAAAACGATAAAAACAATCATATTAGAAATAAAATAAAAACCATTAAAGTAATATTATTTATATATCATTTCATTGGTCGGTATAGAACTTAAATTAACTATTGATTTTAACAGTAGTACTTAAGTATATTGTAACAGGTAATTACTAACACTACAAAGTGAAACGAAACGCTTTGGTGTTAGCTTGAATAAGGCTTTAATCCAAGATCCGAGTGGAGTGAGAAATCCGATATTTTACGGCTATAATCCAGGTATTGTATTATCTGGTTTGCATTTGAGTCTTAAGTTATGTTTAAATAAAGACTTTTGAATGTATTTACTTATGAATAAGGAACTTATTATCCATTTATATATTCAATCTTAAAATGAACCTGCGGAGTATAAGGCTCCAGGGAAATCTCAGTCTATTTTCTGTAGAAGTTTTTTTTAAAGAGAAAACGTACAATAAAACCTTCTGAGTAAGTTTTATGCGATACGAAAAAAAAAAGTAATAAAAAATAATGTAGTATGTAGGTAATCTTGTTTTATGAAAGGTATAAGAGGTTCAAATTCAAATTTATTTAATTGCCATTTTATTTAGGTTAAGACGGGCTATCAAAATAAACTTTTTTCTAACAGCTTTTATAATACACAGCTGGGATATACTTTGTTCTTTTTTGCCCCATGTCGCATGAATAATTTGACGGAATTGTCCATACTGCCGACTCCCCACAATAGGTAAACAAGTTGTTAAGCCTATAGTATGATTAAAGGTTGGTTTTAAAGGCAACCCGTATTAGTTAGTCCTCAGGGGTCCTCAGGGTTATAATCGGGCAGACAGATAGCTCGTTTGTTAGTTTTGTCAATCTACTATTTGCGGGTGCGAGTAGGGCTCGGGCCCTGGAGGTTCTCAACTTAATTATGTATGTCGATAATTCATCCATAGAAAATAATAAGCCGCGTTGATTTTGAAACCGTTGCGTTATTGTGAATTATCATATTTAACTATTTGTGGGACTTAAAAATTAGGGACGGCATTTATTTTATCAAAAACTACCCGATACTTCGCACGGGTGATTACTGTATCTCAACAGCAGCGCCACCTACCGGTCCAGTTGAGTTTTGAGACCATCCAGAGACCCACTCAAATACACAACAATACATCAACAGCAGCGCCACCTACCGGTCCAGTTGAGTTTTGAGACCATCCAGAGACCCACTCAAATACACAACAATACATCAACAGCAGCGCCACCTACCGGTCCAGTTGACTTTTGAGACCATCCAGAGACCCACTCAAATACAGAACAATACATCAACAGCAGCGCCACCTACCGGTCCAGTTGAGTTTTGAGACCATCCAGAGACCCACTCAAATACACAACAATACATCAACAGCAGCGCCACCTACCGGTCCAGTTGAGTTTTGAGACCATCCAGAGACCCACTCAAATACACAACAATACATCAACAGCAGCGCCACCTACCGGTCCAGTTGAGTTTTGAGACCATCCAGAGACCCACTCAAATACACAACAATACATCAACAGCAGCGCCACCTACCGGTCCAGTTGAGTTTTGAGACCATCCAGAGACCCACTCAAATACACAACAATACATCAACAGCAGCGCCACCTACCGGTCCAGTTGAGTTTTGAGACCATCCAGAGACCCACTCAAATACACGACAATACATCAACAGCAGCGCCACCTACCGGTCCAGTTGAGTTTTGAGACCATCCAGAGACCCACTCAAATACACAACAATACATCAACAGCAGCGCCACCTACCGGTCCAGTTGAGTTTTGAGACCATCCAGAGACCCAGTCAAATACACAACAATACATCAACAGCAGCGCCGCCTACCGGTCCAGTTGAGTTTTGAGACCATCCAGAGACCCACTCAAATACACAACAATACATCAACAGCAGCGCCACCTACCGGTCCAGTTGAGTTTTGAGACCATCCAGAGACCCACTCAAATACAGAACAATACATCAACAGCAGCGCCACCTACCGGTCCAGTTGAGTTTTGAGACCATCCAGAGACCCACTCAAATACAGAACAATACATCAACAGCAGCGCCACCTACCGGTCCAGTTGAGTTTTGAGACCAACCAGAGACCCACTCAAATACAGAACAATACATCAACAGCAGCGCCACCTACCGGTCCAGTTGAGTTTTGAGACCATCCAGAGACCCACTCAAATACACAACAATACATCAACAGCAGCGCCACCTACCGGTCCAGTTGAGTTTTGAGACCATCCAGAGACCCACTCAAATACACGACAATACATCAACAGCAGCGCCACCTACCGGTCCAGTTGAGTTTTGAGACCATCCAGAGACCCACTCAAATACACAACAATACATCAACAGCAGCGCCACCTACCGGTCCAGTTGAGTTTTGAGACCATCCAGAGAACCACTCAAATACACAACAATACATCAACAGCAGCGCCACCTACCGGTCCAGTTGAGTTTTGAGACCATCCAGGGACCCACTCAAATACACAACAATACATCAACAGCAGCGCCACCTACCGGTCCAGTTGAGTTTTGAGACCATCCAGAGACCCACTCAAATACACAACAATACATCAACAGCAGCGCCACCTACCGGTCCAGTTGAGTTTTGAGACCATCCAGAGACCCACTCAAACACACAACAATACATCAACAGCAGCGCCACCTACCGGTCCAGTTGAGTTTTGAGACCAACCAGAGACCCACTCAAATACACAACAATACATCAACAGCAGCGCCACCTACCGGTCCAGTTGAGTTTTGAGACCATCCAGAGACCCACTCAAATACACAACAATACATCAACAGCAGCGCCACCTACCGGTCCAGTTGAGTTTTGAGACCATCCAGAGACCCACTCAAATACACGACAATACATCAACAGCAGCGCCACCTACCGGTCCAGTTGAGTTTTGAGACCATCCAGAGACCCACTCAAATACACAACAATACATCAACAGCAGCGCCACCTACCGGTCCAGTTGAGTTTTGAGACCATCCAGAGACCCACTCAAATACACAACAATACATCAACAGCAGCGCCACCTACCGGTCCAGTTGAGTTTTGAGACCATCCAGAGACCCACTCAAATACACAACAATACATCAACAGCAGCGCCACCTACCGGTCCAGTTGAGTTTTGAGACCATCCAGAGATCCACTCAAATACACGACAATACATCAACAGCAGCGCCACCTACCGGTCCAGTTGAGTTTTGAGACCATCCAGAGACCCACGCAAATACACAACAATACATCAAAATCATTCGAGCCGTTTTCGAGTTTTGGCGAGGCTTATTGACAGCAGCTGATTTTTATATATAAGAATAAGAAGATGTATGAAATTATTTGACGCCTATTTCAACTCCAAATAATATCATAAATTGTGCTAAATGAAATATGTATTAATTTATTTAATCAAAACATGAAATTATTTCACCTTCCATTTCATAAAGTGTGCTAAATGAATGAAATATCCAGTGATATCAAAAAATTGTCTTCTTTATTTTCTATTGTGTTCTGTATCTTTTGTGGAAGTGGAGGGAGCAGGAGGCAAAAATAGGCTTGAAATTTTGCAACTCCACGAATACCTTAATATTTGATATTAATTTTAACTTGATACCTCTACCAGTGCCTGAGAACAGATCTTGACAGTCCTGCTCTTCTGTCCCATTCTCCTGTCAGGCAGATGGACAGAAGGAGAGGCGGACGGACGGAAGTAAGGACGGACCACCAAATGATCCAATAAGGGTTTATTTTTCCTACGGACGTACGGAACCCTAAAAATAAGTGCACATATCCATACATAATACTTGGTTAACGTAAAAATTTTAGTATCAATAAACTTTATGTATTTATACCGTTTCTTATTTTTATTTACTGATGGATTACTATTATATGATATTTATTATTTTTGAATTATTTCTTTACTTATTAAATATATATAATATAAAACTGAAGAATATATATATATATATATATATATATATATATATATATATATATATATATATATATATATATATATATTTTAGTATATATGTATTGATAAGAATATATAATATAAAACTAATAAATACATAACTGAAGAATACACGAATT